TACCCGGCAGGTCACACCGGTGAATAGTCCAAAAAGACCAAAACGACGACCGGGTACGCGACCAACTACATTCGTCCCTAACCCTGAAGCCACTTTAGAAGCTCAACCCACTGTGCAACGGGAAAAATGGGTGGTAGTGGAAAAGAAGGTGCACCCTTCCCACAGCACACGAAAATAGAGAAGCTGATTACAGGTCGAACCCCACCATCTTGTTTGACGTCCCTGTGTGTCATGATAGTCTCCTTGAGAACAGAGAATCGTTTGACAAGCAGCAGTGGGAAACCGTATGCACCACACTAGGACTGGGTGGCCCAGAAGCAAAATTGTGCAGGCTTTACGAAGGCAACTACCCACCTCAGGGAAAGCCTCCGCCAATGAGAGTTACCCTAAGCTCTGCTAAAGAAGCGGAAAGATTCTTGCTGATGTCACACACTAGTGATCAACGGGTCATACAGCATTAGAGCCAGACCAGACCGTCCTTGGTCAGCAAGAAAAGTATCTCACGGAGCACCCAGAACGCTGAAACCAACAACTATAGTTGTCCACGGCACACCAGAACTGACAACCGGCACAGTCGTAGAGAAGTATGCTCACGACGTCCAGCAATGGCAGTGGTTATCAGCGAGGATGGGGTTAAATGGGGTAGCAGTGGCGGCAGTCTGCAGACTGCCACGCCCTTCACATTTGACGATGATAACAGCACCCCGGTTGGTGGCTGTTAACTTCGGCTGTCAAGAACTTTTAACCAGTGTGCTCCAAACTTGGTACACGGTAAAAGATAACATCAGTGGGAATGTTCGCTGCCGTGAAAGCAGGCCCAAGACACTGCGACAACAGCAAATGGCAGCACCGCCCACTGCCGAAGTCACCGTCACTGTCAACAGACAAGGTGCACAATCAAGCCTGGACTCTATGAAACCCCCAGAAACCATTGTGGGGAAAAACGTGATTGGGCCGGTCTCACTGGAGCTGGTCGTCCTATAGCAAGTTTCGCCACTACGCACGACCCCTCCAGTCTGCCAGCACCAAGATACCCCATGTCGTTAGAAACATAGCCAAGTGTCTTTACAGTAATGTGAGGGGACTTGGAAGTAAAATGGGGGAATTACGATTTCTCTGTTCCTACCTTGCTCCAACGATTATAATCCTGACAGAAAATTGGTTATCACCGAACACTAACGACGTCGAAACCAGTATAGACGGTATGCGTCTGTTCAGGAGAGACAGGGAGTTTGAGGAAGGAGGCGGAGTGGCGATGCTTATATGTGATAACCTTAGAAGTGGACAAGCAACTGAAACCCTACTTTCAGGGCTCCCAGACTCCATCTGGTGTCAATGTAAGGTTGAACACACCAAGTACCCACTAGGAGGCGACTACAGAACACCCACTAGCAGCGTGGAAGACAACCGACAACTGCTGCAAGTAATGTCCCGGGCGACGTCCATCAGATATGACCAGGTCATTACAGCCGGCATCGTGCCTTTGTCTTTGCTACAACAAAGCGAACTATGTGACGATGAACCAATATCTGTCGACAGCACCATGACCTCAGGAGTGGAGCAACCTGTCGATTGACCAACATTGGGAACTAGTCAGAGATATCATCAAGAGGGCTGTCCCTGAAAACGTCCCAGTAATCATAGCAATACCGCGGAAACGAACCTCATGGCTGAAGCGAGGCATTGAATGCCTTTTGAAAGCCAAGAGGAAAGCATGGCACAAGTGGAGGACCTCCAGAAAAGTGTCTGACCACACCGTGTATATTGCCCTAGGAAATCTATGTAACGTTAGAGTGAGGGGAGACAAGAGACCATTCCAGACGAACCTTTCCCAAAAGCTCGAGGCGAATCCCAAAAACCTATATCGATTTATGGCAGGCAGAAAATCCACCAGCCAGGGGTTTTGCCTCCTGAAGGGCCTAGACAGAGAGAACCTCTCCGGACTAGAGATCGCCGAAACCTCTTGGTGCCACCTTCTGCACGCAACTCAATACGTCCCTGTCGAACCAAAATTACCAACTGTCCGGCTAAAATTCAGCACCACCAAAAGCAGCAGAGTTACGTGGAATAAAGGCAACTCCTGCTATGGCCCTCAAAAAACTGTCAAAGCTCCGCCCAGGGAAATCACCAGGGTGTGATAACATCCGACCGGCTGTGCTGAAACAGCGCGCGGGTGCCTTGTGCGGTTCGCTGTGTAACTTGTTTCAGTACTCCTTAGACAATCATATGCTTCCACAAGAGTGAAAAGTGCTATTCTGTCCCCCATCTTCGAAGGTGGAGACAGGCAGAACCCAGAATGCTACCGACCGATAGCCCTCCTACCAGTGGTATCAGAAGTAACGGAGAGTCTGGTAGACGACCATGTCAGGGAGTACTTATAAAAGAGGGGAGGACTTAGTGATGCACAACGTGGTTTCAGAAAGGGTAGATCCTGTGCCACAAACATTCTGGCGGCAGGTGATAAGTGGACGGCATGCTGGAACCTCCAAATTCCTGTCCATGTTATTTTCCTGGATTTTACTAAGGCCTTCGACACAGTTCCACACACCGTCCTTATTCACAAAATAGAAAGGTTGGGCATCAAGGGACAAGTGCTTCCATGGTTGCAGGACTATCTAGACGGTAGACAATTCTGCACAAAAGCCAACAGAGTTTGCTCGACTTGGGGGACATCATCATCTGGTGCATCCCAAGGGGCAGTTCTGGGTCCACTGCTATTCCTTCTTCTTGTGAACGACCTCCCACTGAATCTCAGCTCCTCAATTCTACTCTACGCTGATACTGTTAAGTTACGGAGAGCTGTGACGTCAGAAACAGAATCAAGTGCACTGCAAAGTGATCTCAGATTGCCGGCAGAGTGGGTGGACATTAATTGACTTGCATTTAACCTAGATGAATGCCGAACCATGCCTCTCCGCACCTCAGACCCTCAGAAGGTACCCTATTCTCTCTGTGAAACACGACCCTCCCACATCACCACAGAGAAAGACCTAGGACTAATACTAACTGACAAACTAGACACTAGCCCCAATTATTCGGGAGATGCCTCCAGAGCCTACGCAGTACTGCGCTTCATGCGCAGATAACTGGGTACCCTGACCCCGGAACCCTTTTTGGAGCTGCATAAGATCGATATACGACCCCACCTAGAGGTACACAACGTCATCGCACCCCCATATCTGAGAAGAGACGTGAACCTCCTAGAGAAAGTCCAAAGGAGAGCTACAAAGGGTGTCGTGGGAATGAGACAAAAACTATATCAAGGCAGGCTGAAAGACCTTGGGCTCTTCTCCCTAACCTACCGTAGATTACGTGGTGACTTGATAATGGCTTACGAAATACTCAGTAACCCAAGTCATCAGAACAGTGGAATCCTACCGAACGGCCACTGTGGCGATCCTTGTGGTAACCCAAGGAGGATCACTCACCAAAGAGCGAAAACCTGTGTGTGATCACACTTCTTCTCTATGTGAGTTTGCGGCCACTGGAATGCATTGCCTGCTGGGATTACTACTGCTCCGCCCGTTGACAGCTTCAAGAAGAGGCTGGGCAGTTACGCAACGACGCACGGTTTGCGCTCATCCAACTGGGATGTGTACCAGGTTGACACGGCTTACTAACTCGGTACGACCAGTCGTTACTGAACACTTTGTAAAACCACTATCACTGAGAACTTGGCTCAACCTTATGCCTGCCTATAGACGTCCCCTCCAGTTCCGTCTCCTACCAAAAGAATTACTGTATTCTCATTCATCCCATCATGTTATTTATTATTCTTCCTTCTGACTTTACACTCTCAGGCTGTAACAAAAGCTCTCCTTATCACCCATTCCCCATGAACCACTGGCCACGACTAATTCATCCCATTCATCCCTCAGATGTCGGACAGAATCACCGGTAGAGTATGACTGTTGCAAAACTACTCGGAAATTCTCCCCCTCTTCCTTCGTTAGTTGCCTGCTCCAAGCATCACAAACCAAAAACGACTGCTTACAGAGATGGTGACGAACCAGTCTGTAAGACACCACGGCGCAGTCATCAACCTTTAATGGAAACCGGAGCAGTGAAGGGCGATTTTGAAATTTAGACCCAAGACTGACTGTTCTCAAAATAGAAAGAATTGTGGTTTCTAAATCAACTCCACACCTTGAGGTTTGCGGTTCACTCCTAAAGTGCACTTAAACACAGAGATGCACTTCAAATGACTTCTTCCTGATTCCTTGCCTTTCACGCAAACACAGTGAGTATTAGTAACTTGTGTTCACCGTAAAACACGAGTCACATACTTTCTGCATCGTCAACGCCTTTCGAGTCGGAGAATGAACTTGACAGCACCACTCCTTGAAATATCTCCGAGAGCTCTGCTGAGGCTGCCTTATTCTTGGAAGTTTGGGATGTGTTACTCAGAAATAATGACAAGTCAGTAAGTGACAAAGGGAAAGTCCGCTAGGTAGCGGGCTTGCTAGCAAGCCAATACAAGGCAATTAACGATTTAGACGCATATTAACACTCCAAAACCCACCACCATTCACTACGAAACGGGTTTTATTAGGCTCAGAGCCACTATAATCTCCACTAGCATACAGTAGCTAGTACTCCTTCCACAAATGCCAATTTGTTTACCCACGCACCTACGAAAGAAAATACAGCGACCAGTTACCTCCGAGTGAATGATGGTAATTATATCTTATTTAGCCGCAAAAATTCAATTTGTCGCATCATATCACCTACGGTGAAGCCTATTTTCTACAACAACTACAAAGACATGATTAAGTATGAGGATCCCGCGTCAGTTCCATCGCTCAAGGCCGCCTGGAAAGGGAAATGAGTCACATTCGTTTGCGGATAACTTTTAATAACACCCAAAACTAAAAAAGAACCCAGCCTCAAAACGTAGTCATGAGAATTCGAAAGCTCCAGTTTTATCATACCTGCATAATGATATCTGCTGTTGAAAGCAATGTTGAGGTCAAGCGCCGTATTCGTTAATAGCACGAGTTATGGTTAATAGCTATACAGTCCTGCGGGAGAAAGCGGAAAAAGCAGTGAAATACAAGACGCCAAGAGGCAAAGAAGTGTGTCTGACAAAGGAGGTGTATCTTCGCGATGATGTGCCTTGTAGAAGTTCTCTTTGTCCAAAGGCCGAATGCCATCAAGGTAATTACCCTTGGCTTAAGCTGAAAGTGGCGATTATTTTTTCAGGTGGTCGTTGCTTTCCGGAAAGTCTTAAAACATATATTCTAGTTGATGGATTTTACGCTCTCAACTACTGGGAAGTATTTGAACTAGAGAGCATACAAGGGATAATTGTCACCCTTTCGTCGGCTAATTTTGTAAGTTGACATAGCTTAATGAACTGTTTCTAGGTCCAGCAACACGCTTCAACAAAGCGCCCTTATAACAGAATCCGATCAAGCCTTGAGGATGCGGGCCAAAATTGCATTCTCTTTGATAATGAGTTTCATCGTTTCTGTTTCCGTCCTCCTTATGCAGATGAGAGCATTAAGGACTACACTACCAGGTTTGTGCAGTTTGCGCATAACTGACTTTTAGAATGAACTGGGTCGCTGCAAACTGGTATGACGAACACTTGGGAGGACGTATGTCCGTTGTTTTTGTAACCGATAATGAGAACTACGTTACCATTTGCTCATCCAAAACGAATTACTCCTCGTCTGCAGTAATTGTAAGTTTTTTTTTGATTAGCAAGTTATTATCCTTTAAGAAGCATTCGGAATTCATGTTTATAATCTTAGAGATGCCTTAAAGATCTTAATTGATGTGTCCAGTATTTGTGGTATCATTGATACTTATTACCTAACATCCAAGCTGGAATGTAATTAATTCTAAGCAGGTTTTCTTTTTTCAGTAGATAAATTGCGATTTAAGAATCTTAAATCTCAGACTAAAAATGTTGATTAAAGTTACATTCTTTGGTAGCTTTCCATCAATCCATAAGTCGAAGTTGGTTGCACATTTCCAACTGTTCACCGACACAAATTCTTGAGCTTGAAGGTTAATGCGTATGTTTTTAGGCTCAGTGATATGTAAGGATAAAATGCTTAGATTGCCGTAAATGTGTCGTTAAACTTTTCATAGTGTGAAGCACACCTATTGCGGCCTCTATGGTGGTGTCTGCATGTCAAACAGTTTGATATAGAACCTGGCACAGAAATGTACCATTTCTAATTGCTACACTTCACAGCAACATGAAATCAAGAAGTAGATATAATAGAAGTGATACTAAGGCAAATAAGTGTATGGGTAGGGAAGAGAAATAAATAAAGGGTAGTGAAAATGGTCAAGCTTTCAAAGGTATCCATCACCATAACTGACTTTCTGCTATTTCATCGCGTGTTTCCAAACGTTGATTTTTATTGCCAAGGTTCCTAACCAGACGATTTATCTCCCTACATGACCCAGACCGACTGTCAAAATTTTGCGTGAACGAATGCCTAGTTTTGGTCTGATCACCCTTAATCTTCTTTCAACCCAATCCTAGTTCGACTAACATTACGCTTCAAGATAGACTGTTGATGGGCATGTGCGTTAAATGTACATATGTCGTAGGACCTTAAGCGATGTTAAACTGACTCCTCTGTGGTTGCTACATAAACACATCTTTTATTTCTTACAAACTGAAATAGCTGACGATCTAGACCAGTTTGATGACTGTCTGATTCGCTTGCACTAACTAGTAATGAGGCTATTTCACTGAGTAATTTCCCACTTCCCTTCTTAGAAATTTTCCAAAAGCCCGTTAGACTTCGAAGAGAGTTACTGATGCCTTCTCTCTCACTTCAGCCACCTACAGCTGCTCGAAGGCAATTTGCTTTTAGTCTGCTTTTACTTCTCATTGTGGCCAGAGCAAGCTGTGAAGAGTCTTCTTATATTGATTAGTTCTGGTGACGTGTTAATTTACTGGCGATTGCTGACGTTTTAATGTAGGTTACCAACTGTCTTTGTTGCTGATTCATTAGTAGACTGAATATCACACCAAGCTTCATCGAGGAGGGAATTGCTCTTATGTTCGAATAAATGCTTAGCTGAATACTTGCTAGAACTTCTCATCTTTCAGTTGAGTAGAAAGGTTTGACTGCCGTCAGTTTTTCTTCATGTATTGAGGCGTCAACATACGTTCCCGTACTAGCTCGTGGTCGTAGTTTAAGCTAGAAGCGCCAATCCTCCAGAAATGGTTTGTAGCAATACGACCTATTCGTGTTCACCGTTGGCTTAATGTTAGCAGACGCAGACTAAAACAGTCTCTTTATCTTTAAAGTTATTACTGGTCAGAAACAAGATTCAAGAAACGATCGCCGCTGTCAGTTGGTTGGCATAGGATACTTTAGATACCATTAAGTTGTTTTTCTATTTGGTTCAGCTTCCCTTCTTGAACAGTGAAGTCGTCCGCTACTGTGAATATATCTAAACGCTTCGCTTCATATGGCGAAATTGACGACTTGTGGTAAGATTCATCCTGTCTTCTGCACTGCAGTCCACATGTAGTAGTGTACCGATAAAACAAGCGTCCCAAATACATAATAATCAGCAGTAATGGTTACTGTATTTGATTATCGTTGCAGTCAGATATGTACCATTTACTACATCGGCTTCTCAGAAACTTGTATTTGTGTGGCAAATGATTGACATGTGACCATAGTAAGGTTTATTGTAGGAACAATATAATTGTCGAATTGGCGTAGAGAAGTGCCTCTAAGCAAGTGCTAATAAAGTTTGCATTCTAGAGAGATATGTCCTAATGAATAATTATGTGTAAAGAATCAAGCCAACTCAACGCGAAAACTCAGAAATATGATGCAAATCGATAAACTGTAACAGTAACAAACCAGTAGTTCTGATAATGCGTAGCAGAATTTTCTGACTTTTTAATGCTCATTAGCATTCTTATACTGTTATCAGTGATGAAAATACCGTTACATAGAATAGTCGCTGTGTGAGGAGAGTAACTGATTTCGTTCAGAATGTCCAAAGTTTTTCCTACACATTAAGTGATGAAGGCACCACTTCAACTAACAGTCAAAGTTAAATAAATTGCACGTTATCTTGCCATACTTTTGTGCTTCAAATTCATATAATATGATCCACTGACCTCATACGTTGTAGCGTCGCACCTAATAAATATGCATACAGGTAGAATTTTTCCATTTAGATTTTTGAGTTTCAAACAGTTAGTACACTGCCCTCCTTGGCACAGCATGGTCGTCAACCTGACCATGCAACTAGCCACTTCACGAGTTAAAGTGTTCATCGAGTAAACATTAAGATGTCATTTTTAAAAGTAATAAGTAATGATCGTAGTGACTCCTTTCGATACAAGATTGCCTCTGGTGTTGTGCAGTTACTTCATGTTGTCGTTATCCTTAGATAGCTAAATCTGAATTTCAACTTTATACTTCTGTACACATACCATCTTTTCTGCAAACAGATAACCAAGTTACGTACAGCTGCATTCTTCATCTAACAAACAACCATTCACTAAGTATTCCCTCTCACCAGAAAACTTTATATTTTGGTCATGATTTAGACCTTAAAGTATCTTTTATAGGTCTTGAATTTACCGGAGTTCCTCCAGACCTACTACCCCACCCTAACTACTGCCAAGCTGTTGTTTGATTCCCTGGATGCATCACTTCATGCTTCTGAAGCAAAAGAGCACCTACAGCTGCCTGGAGAAAACCTAGACGGCGAAGCTCCTGCAGAACCACTGGACTCTTATTTAGTACCTTCAGGTTAGTTTGTTGTGCTAAATATGATCAGCTTGTAAAAATAGTCAGCACAGTATTTAGTATTGTGTTAAGCATTGTATGACTTAGGCATATCTAAGTCATTGAGCACTAATTTTGAAGATATTCAATATCGTCACCTCTGTGTAATTGGTGATTTGACACATGAGTGCATTTCCCCACTTTTTATTTATGTAGTTGATACTACTCGTGCAAAAAGCTATCAGTATCCAAAGCTATTTCATACAAAGTATGATTACAAGGTCCGTAGTTTCGCAACATTTCACTGATTGTTTAATGGTTTTTATCATAGATTCCTCTGCTGGGTCACTTTGGTTAGTCTTATCCTTGGTTGTATTCAACCAAGGAGTACTAGTATTAACATGTACTTGTTAGTAGTTCAAGTTTATCGACAGTTTGGCCCTATCATGTTTTCCTTTTAAGCACCTGCACCTGGTCATGCATATCCAGCGTATTTACCTGAATCAGCTTTGGTTGCGGGTCTGAGGTCAGGACAATTTCTGCGTGGAATTCTACGTGTGTCACGTTTTAGACCAAACACTGAAGCTATGGTTGCACTAACAGAGTAAGTTTTGTTACGATACTGAAGTTCTATTCCCGAAAAGTCCCAATTTGCAACAGTGCTTCTCAGAATTTGAATGTCTTAAGTTACCTATATTAATGCATATGCTAAATTTTGTGGTTCTTTAACCCAGCCATTCATTTTTCAGTCAGGTTGGTATTCATCACGAACTGATACCCCTTGGAGGACCACTGAAAACCTGGGAGGACTGAACAGCTGTTTCGTCCTAGTACGGGACTCCACAGCATTTCTAACCATGACCTCGCCAGTGAGGGGACCCGGGACCTTAGGGTTCCGCGACCAGCTCGTTGCCGTTGAGCCTGTGGGTTAGAATCCAGTGGTCCACATTCCTTATTGCTGTCAGTTTACGATATAGTGCGACCTCCATCCATTGCCACCGTTCAGTAACTGCCTCTACATGGGGCTTGGTTGGTCTCACCGGTCAGTACGTCTCACTATAACCTCGCGAATTTCATCTCGTAGCAGTTCACTAGGGCGAACCAGAGTAATCCAGTTTGATGTTAAAGACTTACTTAGAGTCAAACAATAAATCCCTACAAACCTCCAAATTGCATTTTTCAATCGGTCGTTTGAGGATCCACAACCCATATCATTTATGCCGCTCTAGAAATCTCGATTTTATCACTAAGTTGTACAGAATAAATATGGTTCCATTGTTTTGAAGAGTTTTCATGGGCTTGGGAGTTGTGCGACCCTGAAAGTAAAGTATTGACCTCCTTATGAAGTCTAGGTTTCTTTCCATGTGTGAAATGAAATGTGGTTTGTGGTTATATGGTAGTAACTTATCTAATGTTCTGTAGACGCTCGACACTGAGCTACTATTAATCACGGTACAAACAAACTAGCTAATGGGATCAAAACAATGTCACTTTTATGACACACAGGAACAACACATTGTGGGGGCGAACACAGCATTTAGTCATGCAGAGATTTATTCAACGTAAAGTACAGGTTTCATTATGATAGAAGTGGTATGCTATTGCTGATATTTAGAAAGCGGGATTTTCCAAACTTGTGATTATCACTGCCTGGTCATTCATACAATGATTAAGAAAAATTGAATTGTGCTCAGTTAACTAGTACCGAAACTAGTGAAGCTTCAGATTGAATCTCATGTGACTATCACTTTTCGTAACTCCTCTTTAGTTGAGTACATTGTTACGTGTTTGGCACTCTGAGGTGTGCTCCGTATATGTAACTGACTTATTTGCTGCCAGGAATTTGTTTGATTTTGTTTTTACTGTAGTCCAGCACCTCATCACCTTCATAAGCTGTATGTATGTTCGTATATATGTGAAAACCTATGGGCGAGATTCTAAACGAATATTTTAGAACTGCAAACAGCTACCAGTTTAACAATCCAAAGTAGTGGTATTTCCTTTTGGCTACTTTGTGACAGTACCATTTTCAGTTTTATGGGTTAGTTATACGTGTTATCACATCATGTGATTGGTATCTTTTGACTTATGATTTACGTCCCGGTGTAATGTCTCAGCAATACTGATAGAGTGCTCGTTGCATAATAGCTAGCCCAGAAGAGCTTAAACAAATAGTGGTAAGTGTGCAGTAGTGTTCCTAACTTTGCGTGGGATCGAACCGAAGACTTACAAGTTACGCAGCAGGCATGTTACCATTGAGTTAGAATCCAATCGTCTGAATTCTCTTGTTTCTGTCAATTCGCCATATTGCACTACCATGATCCCGTGCCAAAGGCGAGTATCTGTCCTCGCACGTGATTTGATCCCACAGGTCAAGGTCTATCATCAATCACAAACGAGGGTAAAACAACTCTCCAATTCTTCCTCGTTTTTGATTTTTGTTGAACTAATATAAGTCCGTGATGAGTTCTACCTTGAAATCAGTCAATGCCCACAAACTAACTAAGCAGATTTTTTAGTTGTGAAGATTAACTTTGTCGAGCATGAAAGTGTAAAGCGATGAAGCTGACTACAGAATCAACGTGGAACCTCTCACATTGCTGCATCGACATAAGTTGCCACACTTCACAGTAATAGACGAAGAACATGTGGATAAAAAAGAAGTGATACCAAAAAAGATAAAGTAATGTGAGAGAATAAGCAATCTGAAGACAACAATTAGTGCGAATATTCAAGTTTTAGGAGATACCAAGGAATGAATACATCTGCACCACTGTGACCAACTTTCATCCATGTCCACCAAGAGTCCTGAACCGTTAATTCACTTCGTCTCGAAGACCCCAACCAGACAGTCTGAATCTCCCCACATAGCTAAAACCAACGGTAAGAGACTTCATCAACTAGTTCCACTTCTTGGTCTGGCCACCCTGAACACTTCTAACCTAATCCAACTTCCTCCGGCATGGCATGCCGAGTTAGGCGGTGTCACGGTATGCCCAGTACATGTGCAAACCACCTCAGTCGACTAAGGTTCACAACCTGATCAATTGACTTGCTTGTCATCCCTAGTACCCTTCGTCTGACCTCGACATTGCCCACACAGTGATTCCACCAAACGCAAGCAATAATACGAAAACATCTGTGATCAAAACCCAATAATCGCTTCGTGTCTTCTATTTTTAACGGCTGTGTCTCACAACCGTACAACAGGACAGAACGGATTGCAGCGCAATATGCTGGTCCTTTTGATAGATATCTCCACGACTTCATTCAAATTAGTTTACGCCAGCAGTTAATCCCAATTGTTTTCCAATACAGTGACACAGAAAGCAATGTAACGCAGGTTGACTGAATGTTTACGCGATGACTACGTATTGTTCACGTATCCAAGTAATGCCAAACAGCATCACCGCACCCACGACATCAAACGACATCAGAAACTGCAGATATCATTAATTGAATCTGTCTACAGTAAACATAATATACACAAAACTTGGTATGTTAGACTAGTGTATACACCTTCAAAAATGACCAACTTACTTCATTTTGTGATTCGCAAGGTAACTTGTTCAGATCGCATGACTTTAGACAGCTGTGAGTAGATTTGTTTCTCTTTGAAGGTATTTTGATACATTCCAGCTCCCAAATGAAGTTGATAAAGTTGAGCATTAATTCATAGTCTAAAAGCTAAATAATTCACTATTTACTTAGATGTAACCCATGGGTTAGTTTGTTTTAGTTCTGTTTCTTTGCCCTTAGCGCTTAATTTTCGGCAGCGGTGGTAGAGAACTTATTGCAAGATAATTGGTTTTAAATCGGGTTATGATACAGCGAAAATAGTCTGTCGTGTCCTATATATATGAATGATTGAGACTTGTTGAAAATACAACCTGAGAATATGCATAACTTGAAAAATCTATTTGAAAGAACTTTAAGGCTAATGTTGATATCTGTTTTAATACGAATGTTGCTATTTTATTTTCCCGGTTAACTAGGCTATCAATATCCGGTTTCTAAATTAAATGTCTTTTATTTGGCCAAAATGTAACATATCTTTATTAGCTTGCACAAATGTTTCTGAAGAACATTCTCTAAGCAGCTTATAAGTTATGTTCATTATGTTTCATATTGAAAGAGAAAAAGCGTTCTCAAAAGTAGTGAATGGACACTGCAGTTTAGAAGTGTAGTGTAAAGTTCACCCAAGAAGTAAGCTAGCAGACAAAAACGATATACTACTTTTAAATAAGTGATATTTGAATGTATTATGTCTCTGGTCACTTTCTTCCATCTCATATGCATCAGCATTAAAAAACAACACAACAGGATATAAATAAAACTATTCTTGATCTTATTTTTACTCTGTTCTTGTCTTTTGATTCCTTCGTCCTTCTGTTTCAACGAATGATCTCTGTTGCATCTCTTAGTAAGACAGAAAGTGTGATCATTTGTGAAAGGAAGCGGCCTAAATCGAAACCAACATTCTAAGTCATCAGCTGTTAAGGTGGTAGTTTTAAAGTTCAACTTCGTTTCATGTTACCGCATAGATAGGGAAAGCTTTATTGAACAATTTTGTCCTGCAACTGGCCAATCAGAATAAGTATCCAACTTCTTGACCTAATGGCTTTATTTCCTGAGGAAAACTATATATAAATGATGTGTTTTTTGTCAAACGAAGTTGTCTTCCTTACAGTCACATACTGGTCTTTGTCTTAAGATTTTCGCGGGAAAAAAGTTGTTATTCGTATCCAGTCCAAGTATCTCATTTCATCAGTATCGTTCTCGTATTTTATATTATTATCAATCACTTTCAATCGGCCACTTCAATCTGCATTTTGCTAACTGTATAATTCAGGTGCTGTAATGTTAGTATTAATTCTCATACTAACCGCTCAGACTAAAAGACTTTAATTTTTCCTTTATTTTCTGAAGTAGGAGTACATTATTTTCTAGCGATACCTACTTTGATTTTGTTCTAATTCGTTTGTTGGTACTTGCATCTTACCAATCATTTTTAGTGCTAGTGCAATTAAACATCAACCGGAACTAAAAGAAGCATTAGCTGCTCGAAGTGAGATAATAATTCATGGACTACAGCATCGTAACCGAGCTGTTGACGGAGATGTGGTTGTAATACGCTTATTGCCTCGTGCTCAGTGGAAACCTGTTTCGTCTAATATTAGTGCTCAAGAAAACTGTAAGTAAATTTCAATATTTGTCAAACAGTTAGTTCAGTTTTACTTCATTGACTCAGTATTTAGTGCTGAGGAATACTTTTATGATACCATGTAATATTTACAATACGTGGTAAATGTGTCATACTTCTCTAGTTCACTCTGGTGTGCTGAGAATATATTTTGTCGATGGCTAAAGAATCATATGCTTATAATTGTTTTCACAATTAAATTCTGAGTAATTGTCAGCTAACGCACTTGTAATCTGATAAAAATAAACTGATTTAAGAAGTATTGTACAATAGTAGATTAAGGTCACTCGATTTTTATTTCTTTAATTAGTCTTTTTAATTTTTCTAGCGTGTCTCACTTTTTTTTTCTGATGTGATGAGATGAGTGACGTGCTTTCCGGAGCTCTTATTCCCAGGCACTTGATTTCATATGAAAGGGATAATATTCAAATTCACTTTTTGTATCTACTTGTAACTCAAGGTTGTGATACTTTTGTCCACTAATTTTTATCAAATACTGGACAGCCGTTTCGCCGTATTATGGGACTTCCCCATAGAACGAGACAGCTCTCCAGTTCTCCTAGGTTCCCAATGTTTCTCCAGCTGATGTCAGTCGGTAATGAGTATCAACCTGAAATCAAAAAAAAATCCCCACAAGCCTCAAAATAGAATTTTACCAAGTAATTAGTATGACAACATCATTAACAGTGCATTGTTCGATACGATTCTAGGTTTGTTGCTGTAGTAGATTATTTCAAATTAAATTGACTCTTTTGCATTCTCTTTCACTTATTTTAAAAATATTTCCATAAATATGCAGGTATCAGGTGTGTCAAATGGTGATCATAGTTACTAACACACTTTTCTAATCTTAGTTATTTCGTGTGTCTAAAGTATGTTTAGTAGCATGTGCCTCCTCAGCTGTTTGCATGTGGTCATGAATGAATTATTTCAATTTCGTAATCGAATAGGATATTCCTCCCGTGGTTCATTATCATTCTGACATGAACTATATATATTTTTTCGTGACATTTATAATTAGGTGTAGCTGAAGTTGTAAACAGTGCTTCGAATATATCCGAGAGTAAACCCGATCAGAACTGCATTGAATCAATACCAGTATCAAGTAGCTTACCTTGTGGTTTTGTGGTTGGAATTGTTAATCGAAATTGGCGTGATTATGTTTGCACGTATATTACCAAATCCGCTGAGGATTTCCCATATCCGAAGTGTGAAAGTGGATGGATTGTAGTTACCCCATGGGACCGACGCATTCCTCGAATACGACTGCATACTACACAAATTTCCAAGTTAGCGCGTGAACGGTGAGAATTTCGTAAATAAAATATAATAAACTTACATTTACATATTTTCCTTGTAGAAATTACTGTGTAAATTAACGATATAACAAAGGTTACTGAGCAGCTTCGTAACTCATTACAGCAAATAAATCAAAACTCTCCATTTAATTTGTTCAGTGTGTTTATTTAACATATATTTGTGCATTTTAGTTGTCACTCACTGAAACATACTCAAATAAAAACTCGTTTTCTTCTGACCATGAACCAGATGTTCGCATTTTCTCAACTGTTTGAAATATAGACATCTAACAAAATACCATAAACCTATTTCACTTATGACACCTCATTACTTGCTAAGTATCACAACAAATTATCTACTGAACATTCCGCCTAATTCTGTCGAGCATTCAAGCGAACTTAACCGCTTAATTTTTTATAAATTTAAATGGAAAACCATTTCTGTTAGTCGATTCAACACTGAGTTTCATCCTTAGATAATTTCCCTGCCGATCTTTAATTTGCAACTCAAAGTGCAACTGATTTTTTAGAATAATTCTATTCCCACGAATTTCTGATTCAGTTTGAAATTCTCAGTATTTAATATTACAACAACAGAAAAACTCCCTCACAACATTTCAAATAATGTCCACTATAGCAATTTAAATTACTTAAATATTATTCGTAAAGAGGACAGTTATACATGAATGGTTGGAATATTGGAAAGACATTATTTACTGTCACATAGTTGATAAGTGAGTCCCACTCTAACTCCTTTGTCCTCACATAAGACGCGAGCTAGGTAGGACACAGGTGAATCCTCATATTTAGCCGTACGAGCATACGAAACGAAACTCACTCAGCCACCTTGTGCACTGAGGGTCAGTGATACGACCTGGCAACCAAACCTCAGTAGATGCAGCGGGCCTCGAACACGTGACCCAATGTTTGGTAGTCCTCTCCCTGAGCCACTGCTCCACATACGAGCAGACAGTCCTACGTAACTTCTTCTTGCCCTCTCTAAAGCAATACAAGAAGAGAGCTGTGAATAAAGTGGGGTGCTCACTATCAGATAAAATAACTGTAGCTAGTTGTCTGCTTGAATTTGGATGTGTATCAACTACAGTATTAATCAGTTGGACTAGATAGAAGCACAGCACTCAACCCACTGATAGCTTCCAGAGGTCTACGCAATATAACATAGTCCTATATTTAGTACACCGAGAAAGATTAACAGGGAACAATAAGGAGAATGGGTCAGGTACAAGAATTAGCAAGTTGTAAATGTAGAGACTGAGTTACACCAGAGAGTTTCAACTTCTTTATGTAATACGTTGAACGAAAAGGCTTTCTCGGAGGTCGACAAGATATGAGACGACCGACAATAATCAGAAGTTAAATTTAGAACCTTGTGGGGATTTTATTAATATCCGGTTCCTATACTCAGTGGGCAGACGCCAGTTGGAGAAACACTGGAAACCTGGGAGCACTGGACAGTTGTTTTGTCCTATGGGACTCCTCAACAGTGAGCACTCATGATCCCATCAGGGACCGAACTCAGTACCTTCAGGTTCCGCGGCCAGGACGTTACCACTGAACCATCAATACTACACGAATCATGAGACCGAACCAGATCACACAAGTCTTGTTCACGTCTGAGGCTAAAGTTAATAGTCTGACATTTAGAAAGCTTTAGCTTGAGACCATTTGAAGAAAACCACTGGCCAATTTCAGACAGAAGGCCATTCAATCGAGAACAGTCTAAGTGAGAGATAAGTGGTACAGAAAGCGTTAGGTCACCGGCGTACTTAATACAATTAGTTCTAGTAGAATAAGACAAGTCATGCGAAAAGAGAGGAAATGGAAACAGAAACAGGAAGTAACGCGCCTTGAGGCACACTGGCTTCAGTAAACGATAAAATGGAGTGCTTCCCTTCACCAACGGTATGCAATATCCAGTTTGTAACTCAGGACTCAGTAAAAGTAGTGCGAAGCTTATTTACTAAGATTAGCTTAAGAAGAGATTCAAAGGCAGACGCAATCTAACCTCAGAAGACACAGCGAACATACTGAACTGGAGTCAGTCTTCTCACATCAATCATTTCGGATGACATTGCGAAAATCCAATGATGTTTGCTAATCTTTCAGTGTGGGTTATTTAGTGTATTCACCACTTTCTACAGCAGACTTAATATCACGCCAGGTTTCTTCACGATGAGCATTGCTGTCATGTTTAGATAAATGCTTAGCTAACTCCTCCCTAAATACGTACTTGGAGTCCGCATAGCCCAATCGAGCACACACAGGCTTAACTGCTGTCTGTTTCCCGCAACCAGTAAGGCTCAGACATACGCATGTCGGTACTAACGTGTGATCGGAGTTCAAACAGGTATGCCAAAAAGAACGGCAATCCTCCAACATGGGCTTATAGCAATATGATCTATTTGTGCCCATCGTTGGTTTGATGTTGGCGGGCACTATGTGAAACAGTGTCTCTCCATATGCCTAAAGTTAGTGCTGGTCAAAAACAAGTGGTTGTGAGAACGAAATTGCAAGAGACGATCAGCGTTGTCGGTTCATTAGGCATAGGATTCTGTAAATACCCCCTAAGATGCCCTTTCGATTGGCTCAGCTTTAAAGTCACCTGCCATTATTATAGGAGTAAAACTTGGGTACTGTGGTAGATTGTAATTCCATTTGAGTCTGTTTATTAGAAATGTCACACAGTGAAACCGTATCATTTACTGGATAAGGTTTATGACATAGTTTATTGTCTATTTTCATATCATGTAACTCCACAACTTTGTAAAAGTTTATATCTTGGGAAAGCAGTGTTTTAAGACATCATTTGTTGAAGAAGAAATAAAAATTTTTCTCAGCCTTATTATTTTTCCTCTACGTTTTAACAACGATACACCACTGTTTTGAAGTTGTGATTTTCGTTTCTTTCAGTTTTGTCGTGCGTATCGATTCTTGGGATTCAAACTCAGCTTATCCAAGTGGTCATTTTGTCCAATGTCTAGGTTGTATTGGTGATCTGGAAACGGAAACACAAACGATACTTATTGAACATAATCTGGCTATCCGGAACTTCACAGATGCACAGGTACGTTAATTCTCATCATAATTGTTAAAAGGCATATCACATTAAAACATGTTAACTTTTGGAAGTTTTCAGTGAAAAGTTCATATCGTTTAATTGCTGCGCAGTAATGAATTCACTTTTGTGATGTTGAACCCTTGAGTTTTCTAGATTTCTTAGCATTTCATACAAGAAAGCGCATATAAGATTCAAACACAGATCTTAATTGTTTTCCGCTTCATAACTCAATGTCAGGGATGTAATCTGCACTGCATTTTTATTATTCTACTAGTAATGTGACTGCATGTGAAAGTGAAAGAATAGTTTTGCAAATACTATTGACGAAACTATACTTTGTTAATTGACATTCATTTTTGATTTAATCGATCTCACTAACATTTATCATAATTATAAGTGGAAAACTTGGGCACTGTGGTAGAATGTAGTTCCATATTAGATTTCTTTATTTGATATGAAGCGCACAGTGATACAGTATTATTTAATTGATTAATAAATAATAATGTATCACTGTGCGCTTTATATCAAATAAACAGATTTATCATAATTATAATTAAAATTGCGACTAAGTAAGCATATTCAGCGTTGTGCTAATAAAATATAAAGTAACCTTTCTCTGAAACCATTTTCATCTTTATACTGAGTCATGAACCATACCTAATATGTGATGGCCAATGATACTGACTGTTCGAACCCTATTAGGTGGTACAGTTTTCGGACCCCTCTACTACTGATTGAAAGCCAGAACTCTTCATGACTCTAAGCCACATATAGTGTTAAGAAGTAGGTTTCGGAAGAGATGAGTTTACTTCCCGCTATTTTATCGGTAGGGTCGAAATATCCCGACGAGCTTATGTAAGTCACTGAGTATCTTTGAAATGTTTATAGTACTGTCGAACGTATAAATGTATAGCTTACGATGTTGAAGTATACACTTGCCAAATTGAGAAGAAATCAAGTTTTATATGATAGCTTTGCGCTACCTATAGAGTCCGTAAGGCTCTCCACGCAATGTCTCTTGGTGGAATTCGATTGGATTGGAAACAGAAAATTTATAATTTACATGTTTCATCAATTAGTTGTCCAACCTAACTCCCTAGACTTCAACATTTGATTTTAAATGGAGCAATAGTCACATTTAAGTCGTAGAAAAACAAAAAGTCATCGCTGATGCGGGTAAGGTGACATACACTCCGTCATTTTGATGTTTTATTGCTACAATCCCTTACCTATCTTTTTAGATCTCAATTGTAGTTGTTTGCGGTTGTTTTTTTTAACTCCAGCCACTGATTTTAAAAGGATACTATGCTCATAACTTCCTAATCAAATTTCATTTTTCACCGCAAGATCGCTTTATTCACTCAGTTGGGAAAACAATTTCTGCACATATTGACTACCGAATATTAGTAAATAATTCACTCGCTTCTGATTTGTCATTTCACAGCTGCTCAGCGAGTGGCTCAAATGCCGCAGTTTTTCGATCCCACCGTTTTCTCATAATGTGCTGTTTGCTGGTACTTTCTTACCGCCTCACAATCAGTGAATGTCAAAACCTCTTTTGTTGACATAGTGTTATATTCACTATTTGGTCTAAGAAGCGATTGTCTCATCGTATTCGCTTCCCTTGAGTAGCAGTCAGTCTTCTGTTTTGATTAATCAGAATCTTGAATAAAAAAAATCCGTGCAAATATTTTCGTCTGACAACAGAAAGAGCCTTATTACAGTGTTTACTTATCAATTGATGAATGAAGTAATCAACTAAAGCAATAGAGAATTCATGGATTGCTCGCGACATTCCAACTCCTTAAGAACTCCCATTATAATTCAAAAGCCCTTTAAATGAACAAAGAATATTCTTTTTGATAACTTCTTCGTAGGGTCCTACAGTTGTTACGTGTATATTAAAGAACTGCGTGCCAACAGTTTGTGAATAATATTATATAGTTGAGGAATTTTCTTCGGAAAAGTCCTATGTGAACGTTAGTGTCAGGATCACTTACTACTGGAATTCAATTCAAAATAATTGGTTATCTTAACGATATGAAAAAGCCATTTTCCATTATTTACCGAGTTCCCATCAAAGTTCCAAAAGCATCCGAATCCTTCAAACTGTGGAACCGGTGCCAATTAGGATTCGGCAACCTGACTTATGTGTTCAGAAGAAGCAAATGTTATCGCTACAACTACCTTGACCTCATTCGGAATTCATACATTCCCACCCCATATCACCTAACTTTCGAATTCCACTCTGTAGATATCCCTCCATTCCTACAGTGTGAAATAATCTTATCACATTCTCTCAAGTTATTTTGTTCCCTAACAAATGCAACACTTTATTAAACTGTTATTCCTCAAATCGTCTGACTTTATAAAGGAAATATATTCATTTCCTTTGTAATCCATTTACCCAGTGTTCAGCTTATTCAATTCCATTAGGTCAAATTTTGATCCTGAAGTCAATAAAATTATTATTATCTGAGCTGGGTTGTTTAATCTAGAAGCGTTCATCGTCTTTCTATGCGACATCGTCAGCACTAACTTCAGAGAACACAATACAACCTACAACCAACACCACCCACCTGAGCTATAAATATTCCCCATTATTATTGTTATTATTATCTATCTTTGTTTATTGCATCCTACTTTCATGCACACCATCTTATTTTTTATTAAACGATCATCTTATAGTATTACATAAACCGTACAGTCGTTTGGGTAGTAAGTTATTTTTAATTGAACTCCGATAATACTTGATCCTGACATTAGCGTTTACATAATACTTTTCTGAAGAAAACTCCTCAACATGTATGTATAACAACTGTAGGACCTGAAAAAGATGTCGAAAAGAATATTTTTTGTTTATTCAAATGGCTTTTAAAATCATAGATTAACTGGAAGTGATCACAGATAACAGTTATTTAACTTTAAGAATTGTATGGTTATCACTGGTTCCTAATTCTTGTTATCCGATCATAATTTGCACTCTGACAGATGTCAGTTGCACTTTATTATTGAGCTTTTTATTTCTCATTAATGTATTGTTGATAATGGTCTCTTATTTGATTGCACACTTTCTAACAGATAGCGGAACTGGCTCCTCTCAGTGTTCAACGCCCTTGGAAGGTCGATCCGATGGAAGTTAAGAGACGCAGAGATCTTCGATCACCAATAGTTTCCGGAATCCGAATTCTGAAGATGTACTTATTTTTAGTATTGATCCTCCTGGATGTCAAGATGTGGATGACGCCTTATCGGTCAAATGGTTATCACCAGTAGTAGATGATGATGGAGCGGAGCACAAGCGTCTTCAGTTAGGAGTGCATATTGCCGACGTTAGCTTTTTCGTCCCTTCTGGTAGTTATATTGATAACGAAGCATTAAGACGTTCAACAAGTATTTATTTAGCTGATCGTCGATATGACATGTTACCAGGATTGTTAAGTGGAGACTTATGTTCTCTTTGGAGTGGTCGTGATCGGTAAGTAACATGTCATGATATTTTCATTTCAATCACTTTTTTATCCACTAATAACAAGAAAGCATTATGTTAACAAACTAGTAGTATTACTTAATTCTAACGTTGAAGCTATTGGATCTCATCCATTATACTTTATGCATGTATGTAGTACAGTGTATTTATGAATAATGGGCAACGAAGATGATTTCATTGTTGTTATAGTCTCATTGTTTTGATACATTTCTGTTATTCGGGTGTATAATAATATTTTTTGGGATCATTTGTTGTTAGGGACGTCTGATCCCTAAAAAAAAACTAACTTATAACATGTAAATGTTTTCACTATACAATTTAAACCTTGTTTTCGCTCCTCTTTTGCCCTACCCAGTGTTACTTATTTTTACCGTGGTTCGGAATACTAAACGCTAATTGATCCATTTTACACTTTCAATAGGCTATTCTGTTTTCCTTCGTTAAGGCCCTTAAAAAAATATATAAACGACTTAACTTTCAGCTATAATCTCCTTTTTTATTGAAGTAAATATACCTTTGATCCCATTGTTTTCTTCTGATGTCAGCTTAGTTTCGTGTTGAGAAGTCATTGTTCTATCGTTAATCCCATCGTGTCGGAGCATTATATCGTTCATCTAAATATATCACAGAACAAAACATGGGTAACTAATGTAATGCGTTCTTCAGCATGATTTTTCTGAAATCATGCTTGTGTGTACTTTCTTACCGTTGAACTTCATTCACTTTAGCTTCTCTATCTGATCCTCCATGTTTCTATGACTACTTTTGTGGGAGTATATGTAAGTTCCACGAGCATGTTATTGAGAAGTGTTCTTTGTTTTGCTGTTTAATATAAGGGCATTATCATTGAAGATTATCTCAAACATGAGGAGTTTTGCAAGTATTCGATCATCAAAATCTAACTTAACGAAACCATTGCCTCAGAAATGCCGTGACTAGCTGGAGAATATATTGGTCAGTCGGACTGTAAACATAAACCGAGATGATTTGGCAGTTTGTAATATCTCTCTCTCACTAATCATCCTTATTTACCATGATGTTTTAAGCGGTATTATCATGACAACAAACTAAGCGCTACCAAACAAGCTCATACCACCAATTTATTCAGCACTAATCTGACGTATATGATCTATCTACAGTGGGGTGCATAAGATATAGTTAGGATACCTTAGTTTTATACCTTGGGATCAATCGCAGTTACATATGTGCGTTCACTCCATCTTCGTGTTTGTAGAATGCTCAACTGATGGGTCTTACCGTGACTTGTAAATTCATTAAATGTCCTTTATTCTACATTTTCGGTTCGTTATTTATTAATCATCGTTTACTTGTTTCCGCTTCACTCATTCTTTCTTCATGTTTATTTTAACATCTTTATATTTCTGTGCCATTGCGAAGCATGACAACTTAAACTGATACGTTTTATGTTATAACATCTATTCAACATTGTCTGGTTCCAAATGTCTTAGTTATTTCTATAAGTACACATTATGTTGTGACAGTATTGGTTTATTATTCTTCAAGTTCACTTTTGAATTTTGATGTAAATCGGTCTAAAATTAACCTTTTCTAAATGTTCTCACTGGGTCATATACAGTTTCTCTCTTAAAGTTAATACAATTATTTGCCTACATTCTTTTCTGTTCTCCAATAACAATCTTTGCATTTGACAACTACGCTTGATATTAACCTCTTTATGTGATTCAACCTTGTGTTTATGTTATGAGCATATCTACATACACTTTATGATACATACAAAGAAATAAACTAAATTATTCTACTTCTGCTTACCTTTCTTTTCGAAGGTATTTACCAGTCGAACCCTAATTCAATTTCTCCTTCATAAGCATTTCGTTAACGTATTTGAAAAAGTCAACGCAAAAATTATTGCGAGTAGATCAAAGTAGTTTCTAACACCATTAATCGTGCAATGGTTGATTTTGATCAAGCTCTGTTCTTGATTAGCTTTATGATATGTTGCTAATAGACAACAAACTGAAAACCACTTACTGTTTATTTATTGTGTTGGCTGGGTTCTCAGATTGCTAAAAAGTTACTTTTTAGATGTTTGCGTGCATCGTTTACCCTCTGGGTCAGCTTATCATCTGTCTAACTTGATTATAGTCTTTAATGTATAAAAATAAATAACTCAGACTACGATTTCTGTGATGACTTTTCTGTTTTACAGTGAGAAATTGTTTAATAATTGATTACTTTATTTTTTCTTTGTATCTTTTAGCTATGCTGTTAGTGTGCTATGGGAAATAGACATAGATTCATTTGATATAGTGAGCATCTGGTATGGTCGAACTGTTATTCGTTCAAGTTATAAACTAACGTATGAAGTTGCTCAGCAAATATATGACCTAATCACCAAAGAAGAAATGCTATCGGGTGATTGTAAGATAGAAGATCTTATTAGAAGGTTTGGTGGGTTGGAAACCATTAAAAAAGATATACCTGAATTGAAAGATTTAAGCTTGGTATGTTTTCTATTTCATGCTACATGTCTGGGTCAAACCTAGTGACATAGGTATTCAACGCACTTTAGTAATAATAATAATAATATCAGAAACTGCAACCCTTTACTCGCTCCTATGCTTTAAAAAGGATAAACCACTGGCAAATCATACACAGATTGCATGGTTCACTGTGACACATCCGTAATGAATTTTCTGTGTGATTCGCACACTAGTGTAAGGGTCTGATAGCTACTGTTGTGGTTCAGTAGTCATACAGTTAGCTTATGGTACCCGGCAGAGATTGCAACTTGCAGTCTTCCATAAAAACCCAATTTAGACTAGTGCGATACTCGAAAAACTGTTCAGTTGTTAGAAATGTCATTGTAAACCGAATTACTTGTCACTAATTTGCGAATAGTTTATTAACGGAGAGGTCTTTCACGGAGATGCATTTGTTCAAGTTGCCACCTTTCTCAACAGCACTTAAAATGGAAGGGGAAAGAAATGCAGTGCTATATCAGTAAAAAAGATATTAACGACGAAGAAAGGAGTTAAATGATGGTTAATAACATTTCCAGAATATCAAAGATAGTGAAAATTGAGTCCATCAGCACCATTGTGATAGACTTCTAGCTACATTTATGAATTTTTAATCAACTATCTTATATCCGTTTCTTGGTGCTCGTGTACCGAGTTTTTGTTTTGAATAAGTAATAATGAACTCCCAACTCTCCTAGGCAAGTTTTCCGCATCGTCGGATCTTAACTTTTACGTTTGTGAAGACAAACTTTCCATGTAAAGGTAGATAATAAAAACTTCTATGGTAGGTGTTTTGAACGTCGAAAAGGCATTTCGAGAGAGAGATCAGGTTGTATCTATCCGTGGTCATTTGAAGATATTTTAAATAGAACTGTTATCCATAACAAAATGCTTGAATATGTAAGTGCTGGACAATGCTAAAGTGTTTTTGAAGTAGTGTAACAACCGTTTTGCTGGTATTCTAGGATATAGGCGATTATGAAGACCCATAGGCTTTCTGTGAACAAATGTTCTGGCACCCGACCATTGGTAACATAAAAGTAGGAGCGAAGACTTCGGTAGCAGCGGGTTTAGTCTTAAGAAATTGGAAACTTGACAGGCTATGCTAGTGTTCTTGTGTAATAATGCTAATTTCTAAAACTTTTCTAGGCTGAATGTACAGCAGCTTTGGAGAAGCTGAGTAAATCCATCTCATTGCTCGTCGATATTGCTTCAAATATACGCACTCGTCGACTTGCCAAAGGAGGATTAGAATTAGAAAGTGTAGAAGTAAGGGTTCAGTTCGCTGATCCGGAAACACGTACTGGAAAGTTAGAAGATCTAATTCCAAAAGAGGTATTTGAATTTATGTTTGTTTATTTCTACATGATTTTAACTTTCGCTCATCATTAATGAGTGATTTTTTATAATTTAATGTAGTGTTCATTTGAGAACATAGAGTTTTCTGTTCGTTTTGGTTTTAACAGTTTATTTTATATAGAACATAAGTTTCAAGGTTCTTTATATATTTTTTGATGTTATTCCGTCCTTCTAGTCGGGTGTTTTAAATAAATCATAATACCTTGAAATGATAAAAAAATATAAAGGTGATAAGAAGTCTCTGAAATTCGAGAGTAGAAACGTCTGTGCAGCATACGGTTTGCACCATCGAAGCGAAACGTACGCTAATACTATTTGCAGGAGCTCGTATCTGCACTCATGTTAAGTGATGAGAGTATTCAGGTGACTTTCATGTATATGGGTATCTGTATGAGTATTGTTGGAGTTACGATAGAGGGCATCAGTTATCGCTTACCTAAAACCGAACCATTATATGCCAATTTAAGTCACTGATGGTTCTGTCATTACGTTAATCTAACTAGGAAAGTTATAATGCGTATCAGTGGTGTTTGTACTCTTCTTCCTGTCAGTTAGACGTACTCTCTTTGAGATAGGACAGAGAGAGGAAATTAACGTAGAACCCCGTGCACAGAAGTGCCATCAGTTTGAGTTGCCACATTTCATAGCAGCATGCGAATAAGAAACGGATCGAAAATTATATGAATATAGAAACAAGTATAAGAGATGGAACAGAATAAATAAATGAGTTATCGAAAATGTATAATCTGCAGATGGAGCCTGTACGACGACTCTATGTTCGACTAGTTTTATCTCTCTATAATTACTTCTGTTCGGTGACATCACCATGTAGTAATGCTGAGGTCTAATGACGTGTTTGAACATTATGAAGATGGTCGCTGAACAAGTGATGTCGTCCTATAACACCACCTTGCCAGAGTTTTGGCTATATCACTGCGATTACTTTGAAGTCTTTCAATGTCTAACTCATCTTCGCTCCTAAATCACCCGTCTTGAGTTGTAAGGTGTCTAACATCAATACAGAAGAGGTATTCATATCTTTTTATGGTGATACCATTATAGCTTAGAACGTTCTAGGTACAATTTAACTGTTGTATTTTCTTTCGAGGTGTGTAAAGTATAAACAAGTTGACACATGCTGCGAGTGTTTTTCCTCAGATATATTTGCATTGAGTGCAACCATCATCGACTGTCTAGGTAGTAGTTATGTGAGAAACCAGAAAATTGTCGGTAAATTATCTATCATAAGTTTTCATGAAACTTCGTAAAATCACCCTTAGGGTTAATAGACTTCAAATGGCAAGCGTATACGCTTGTCAAATGTAATCCACTTGATACCCAAAATAGTTGTATAAATAACTTCGTTCTAATTTCCCAATTACCTTTTGCGCGATTTCAAACACTACAGCAGTTAAAACTGTTTGTTACCGACCTCATTCATTGTTACCATTTCTTAATTGAGCCACCTTGAGTTTTTCTCTACCCCATTTCAACCAAGCCAACATCGCACTCCACAATATATACTGACTAAAATTGCACGCGTGTCACACATGTCCCAGTATAAACACATACAAAACCCTAGCAACTGAATAACGTTTTTGTCGAAACTCTAACCCCAGCTCAGTTCTCTTGTCATACGTGTACATGAAATGTTACGGACCCTTCTTGGTAGTCATCCAATAACGATATGCAAGAATAGAATGTGTTGTTGCGTTGTATGGTTCACAGTATATAAATCGTAAACATAGTGGGCATAATTGAGTACTCGACATTTACGGGACTCAAGAAATGTATGCTGTTTTTTTTTATTATTTCTGTCTGCTTTTTAATCCTATATCGTTAACTTTGTGCTGTTCAAAATCAAAATAGTTACGTGATTATCAAGCTATTCACTTTATCGGAAGTATGTAGTCAAGATCCTTACTCTCGGGAAGATATTTTTGGGAAATTTGAAATATCTAGTGAGTCCAGGTGACTACTTACCTCCAGATTGTCATGTTTTCAAGTGTTGTAGTAGAAAGATAACAGCAGTGTGATGTATGTATTCCCGGCTCATTTTCCTGTTAACTAATGTCAAGAAGCATGTCTGTCAATGGGACTCAAACTTCACCTGTAAATATTTAAGCATAACTATTTTCTGGTGTAAGTTAATCCGCTTCATTTCAGGAATATGTTTTAGCCTGGTTGATGCTTCCAAACTGACTTAAAATTATTTTAATTCTTTTGAGTGGTCATTAACCTTCCTTGCAATAATTATTGACTTACTATATATGTTTTGAGTTGTTAATTTTTATTTATGAAAAGCCCCTTGCAATGCACAATACTGTGGCCGAGTTGATGATTTTCACCAACCATTGGGTTGCTCGTCAATGTGTTGAATCTTATCCTGATCGTTCAATTCTACGTCGCCATCCCCCACCACGTCCAGAATTTTTCGATGAGCTTAAACGTTGCGTGGCTTCCCGAGGTTTCGTCTTAGATACAGAGTCGAACCTTTCACTTGCGAATTCCCTAGAAAATGCAGCTGATCCCAATGACCCGGAGGTAAGTGAAACTAGATTAAGTACTTATTATTTATTTATTGTCCACTTGTTGTTAACTCAGCAGGAATTAGGTTTCAAAATTCACCTACCTACTGAAAGTTTAGCAGTTAAGTAATATCATAAGCCTATGCATTCGGTCTCCGACCGGTAGCTGCTACCTTGGTGTGGTATTCAAGTTTGCATATAACAATAACCCAGCGATCTACTCTGGTTGCGGCGCTTGTTCCCTTGGGGTCCCAATATATCAGAAACCTTGGTTAGATTATGGTAAGACGAAAAGCAGTCACTACCATAAGGTAAATTGCTATGCTATGATGGGGTCCGAGGGCATGTTTATACTGCTGGCCGGATGAGGTGTGACAGCAGTAAGATGTTTCCTTTAGATCACTAGCATTACTGTCTTGATGCTGCCTTTACTATGGCAAGTGGGGGTGAAAAAGGTTGGCCCCCAAAATGACACACATTCCCCCTGTCGCGTGGTCTTCCAGTGTCGGTGGTGTGGCATTTTCCGGTGCGGTGTTGGAACAACCAAATCTCAAACCAACAATCCTAAAAAGGCTGTGTTGTGACAGGTCATAAGCAGGGGTCCAGTGAGTTCCGCGGTCACGCAAATCTTCACATCCTACGTTGTCAGCAACCTGAAAGCATCAACCACTCGCATGCTTTCGATAGTATACAATTTCCTACCAAACATATCCTACCCTCCACACGTTTGTCTTCCCCCTTACCATCACCTGAGACGTATATTAAGCCTCTTAAAACTTCCTCATCCTCTCACTCTACAAACGTTGCCAACGATCCAAGCCATCGAAACGCCATTCCTAGTCTCCTAAGACCCCACTTCCAGTTCCACATTCGATCCTTTAGCATTCGAATCGTATGCCGAATCTCGAGCTATGTGTGTATTCTGTGTTTCTGAGATACACATGCAAGACTTGAGTGTGGTTATAAACTTGAATTCACCTGGTCGTTGCGGTCGATCTTAGAAATTAACTTTATGAGTATCCGGAGACCCAATGGCTCTCAGTGATTCGTTGGTAAAGACATAGCACTGCGTTGTAAAGCAGAAAGCGTACTACTCGACTGGATGCCAATCAACAGCCATCTGTTTACTGTCCGACTGAATGACTGTGTAAGAACCAGGAAGGATCATTAGACCAACCGATGCCTCTTCATAATCTCGGCCCACGCACTGCAGTTTGGATAATGCAAGAGATCAATCCCATCAAAAGCTGTCAGTTTTGCTACGGAAAGCAAAATGCTTACATGCAGTAATAATGGTAGGTGATTCCATTTTAGTCTCTACTAGAGGTGTCACACAGTGAAATAGTACCATTTACTGGATAACGTTCCTGACATAATTTGTCTATTTTCATATCATATAACTCCACAACTTCTAACAGTTTATATCCTGTTTCAAAGTTGTGGAGTTACATGATATGAAAATAGACAATAAACTATGTCATAAACGTTATCCAGTAAATGATACGGTTTCACTGTGTGACATTTCTAATAAACAGACTCAAATGGAATTACAATCTACCACAGTACCCAAGTTTTACTCCTATAATAATGGCAGGTGACTTTAAAGCTGAGCCAATCGAAAGGGCATCTTAGGGGGTATTTACAGAATCCTATGCCTAATGAACCGACAACGCTGATCGTCTCTTGCAATTTCGTTCTCACAACCACTTGTTTTTGACCAGCACTAACTTTAGGCATATGGAGAGACACTGTTTCACATAGTGCCCGCCAACATCAAACCAACGATGGGCACAAATAGATCATATTGCTATAAGCCCATGTTGGAGGATTGCCGTTCTTTTTGGCATACCTGTTTGAACTCCGATCACACGTTAGTACCGACATGCGTATGTCTGAGCCTTACTGGTTGCGGGAAACAGACAGCAGTTAAGCCTGTGTGTGCTCGATTGGGCTATGCGGACTCCAAGTACGTATTTAGGGAGGAGTTAGCTAAGCATTTATCTAAACATGACAGCAATGCTCATCGTGAAGAAACCTGGCGTGATATTAAGTCTGCTGTAGAAAGTGGTGAATACACTAAATAACCCACACTGAAAGATTAGCAAACATCATTGGATTTTCGCAATGTCATCCGAAATGATTGATGTGAGAAGACTGACTCCAGTTCAGTATGTTCGCTGTGTCTTCTGAGGTTAGATTGCGTCTGCCTTTGAATCTCTTCTTAAGCTAATCTTAGTAAATAAGCTTCGCACTACTTTTACTGAGTCCTGAGTTACAAACTGGATATTGCATACCGTTGGTGAAGGGAAGCACTCCATTTTATCGTTTACTGAAGCCAGTGTGCCTCAAGGCGCGTTACTTCCTGTTTCTGTTTCCATTTCCTCTCTTTTCGCATGACTTGTCTTATTCTACTAGAACTAATTGTATTAAGTACGCCGGTGACCTAACGCTTTCTGTACCACTTATCTCTCACTTAGACTGTTCTCGATTGAATGGCCTTCTGTCTGAAATTGGCCAGTGGTTTTCTTCAAATGGTCTCAAGCTAAAGCTTTCTAAATGTCAGACTATTAACTTTAGCCTCAGACGTGAACAAGACTTGTGTGATCTGGTTCGGTCTCATGATTCGTGTAGTATTGATGGTTCAGTGGTAACGTCCTGGCCGCGGAACCTGAAGGTACTGAGTTCGGTCCCTGATGGGATCATGAGTGCTCACTGTTGAGGAGTCCCATAGGACAAAACAACTGTCCAGTGCTCCCAGGTTTCCAGTGTTTCTCCAACTGGCGTCTGCCCACTGAGTATAGGAACCGGATATTAATAAAATCCCCACAAGGTTCTAAATTTAACTTCTGATTATTGTCGGTCGTCTCATATCTTGTCGACCTCCGAGAAAGCCTTTTCGTTCAACGTATTACATAAAGAAGTTGAAACTCTCTGGTGTAACTCAGTCTCTACATTTACAACTTGCTAATTCTTGTACCTGACCCATTCTCCTTATTGTTCCCTGTTAATCTTTCTCGGTGTACTAAATATAGGACTATGTTATATTGCGTAGACCTCTGGAAGCTATCAGTGGGTTGAGTGCTGTGCTTCTATCTAGTCCAACTGATTAATACTGTAGTTGATACACATCCAAATTCAAGCAGACAACTAGCTACAGTTATTTTATCTGATAGTGAGCACCCCACTTTATTCACAGCTCTCTTCTTGTATTGCTTTAGAGAGGGCAAGAAGAAGTTACGTAGGACTGTCTGCTCGTATGTGGAGCAGTGGCTCAGGGAGAGGACTACCAAACATTGGGTCACGTGTTCGAGGCCCGCTGCATCTACTGAGGTTTGGTTGCCAGGTCGTATCACTGACCCTCAGTGCACAAGGTGGCTGAGTGAGTTTCGTTTCGTATGCTCGTACGGCTAAATATGAGGATTCACCTGTGTCCTACCTAGCTCGCGTCTTATGTGAGGACAAAGGAGTTAGAGTGGGACTCACTTATCAACTATGTGACAGTAAATAATGTCTTTCCAATATTCCAACCATTCATGTATAACTGTCCTCTTTACGAATAATATTTAAGTAATTTAAATTGCTATAGTGGACATTATTTGAAATGTTGTGAGGGAGTTTTTCTGTTGTTGTAATATTCAATACTGGGAATTCCAAATCGTACCATAAATTGTTTGGAAATAATTGAATAATATTAGGATAAACTATGATGAATACGGTGTTCCATCGCTTATTGGCGCCCCCCTTGCTGGGTGCTTGAACTTCGTATTTTTTTAGTACTCCGTCGATTTCCTACGGTTTCACGCTACATTTCGCCGAGTTCCTTCTAACGGCTTCAAACGTAATGCATGAAAGTCGCACTTGAGTTTTAATTCAAACCATAGCATCTAATTTTCTAAGAATCATACAAATGGTTATGTATACACTGTGATGCATTTAGCACTCCCTACAAAACTTTACGTTTGTTGTAGAAGTGTCTTGTCACTCGGATAAATGGCTACGTTACAGAACTTGATCGATAGGACTAGATCAGTGGTGAGCAGTAATTTTGAGGTAGCTACGTATTTTGGCTGCCCTCTGGTGACAAACTCATATGTAACTGCGCTCTACTTGCGAATACAATTAATTTCGAGCTATCTATGCTTGTCGGTTGCATTTGTTGCACAGTTTTCTTGTTGAGCTTTTTGAGAACAGTAATAATGTCAATCATGCGATGCCTTGTAGTCTCAGCTGAATTTCTGAAATGCGTTTTACATGATAGTGTCATTCTGACGTAGAACAGTAATTTTTGGTAATGAGCTCATTCACTTCAGTATTTACCTTCCCTAGTAACTCCCTATAGTCGACTTGTATTTTGACGATGCTAAATTAAGGCTACGGTTTTTCTGAAAGTGCTGTCACAACTAATTTTGATATTTGTCAGATTTTTACCAGAACGAATGATACCACCATGAATATTGTTGAAATATCTACAAGATAATTTCTTTCTGAATTGTGACTACCTTTTGCTTTGCCGATATCTTGAAAGTGTTTATATTTACTTTCAGAAAGTATGCATGTGTAGATAAATGTTTCCTTACATGTTCTGGACAGCCAGTATAGTATGTGATGATTTATTGAAATCCACTGTATGAACTTTCGTTAGTTACCAAGTTTGTTGTTGACGTCTAAATAAATAAGTCTAATCGTCCATTCCGTATCCAATTTAACTTAATCACATTCCATCTATAATTTTTTGTTAATGTTGTTGCTTGTATTATCCCCTCGTTGATTGGACCGACTTGATCTGTCTCTGTTGGCATATAGATTTTTGTGTGGATGCCTCGACATTGCCTGCTTCAATTGTATATTTATGATGATTGTTGGCTATCAGTGGAATCCGGCCGACGAGTCCCAAACAGGAGGAAATGCGCATCTTGGATCCGACTGCTAGCCACTATCCATCACAAATATTATTTTTTGTACCTAATGTATCATTTATTTATCTGTATTCAAAATTCCTCATTTTACCATACCTACTTTTTTTCTTCTGATTAATAGGTTAACAAAGTGATTCGTCAACTTGTTACACGAGCAATGACAAACGCTTTGTATTTTTCCACTGGTTCATCAAACATGACACGTGATCAGTTTTCACATTACGGTCTAGCTCTCAATCTGTACACACACTTCACATCACCTATACGACGTTACGCCGATATAATTGTAGGTTATTGGTTTGGTTTAAACGTTTCTTCATTTGGTCCTTTGTAAACAAAACATGTTGCAAATTGATTAAGTGACTCAATTAAATGTTGTCATGCGAAAAATAATTTAACATGTTTGAAGTTCTGTTAATAAATCTTAAATTTTCAAAATTTACTTTATTTGTTTGTTGATAAAAGGTGCATCGTCTTCTTCTTGCATCACTTGGTGATCTAAGATCGCTTAGCCCAAAGCACAATGAAATTGTTTCAGAAACTGCTGCAGTGATAACAGTTTCAAAGAATGAAGCAGAGTTATTTTCTCCAGAAGAATTATCATCTATATGCAGTCATATGAATGAACAACATTGGGCAGCACAACAAGTCCAACGATCCAGTTTAGAATTATTTCAGGCTCTCTTCTTTAAGGATAAACCAGTGGATGATTCATCACGTTATGCTGATGGTATAATTTGTCAGCTTAGAGGTACTAATGGGTTTGTTGCGTTCGTCCCTCGGTATGTACATGTTAATCAATTGTAAAATGTCTGTTGATACCTCTATTTTTCATGTCATGTACTCCATTCTATTATGCCTGATACACACAAGCAACTGTGTTATCGATTGTTTATCGTCAAATGAAAGAACAATATTTTGGGGTAATATTCGACCTCAACGGTTGGGTATTCTGTTTTCTATCATTGACTCACAGCCTCCGAGCTATCTAACTAGCTCTTAACAAAGTAATCAGGTAAAATTTTCGGTGACTTTAAAGCCCAACCTAGCAACTGCTGAAATGACCAATCAAGTTTCAGGATTTCGCCTGTGAAGGTAGTTTTGCATAAAATAACGTAAAGCACTTTTTTTTTATCTCAGTAGTTGCTAGGGTGGCGCTTAAAATGATTTTAAAATAATGAGCTCTCACAAATTGTGTCCGTAGCCAGAAATAATGAAAGCAATAACCAATTATTTAAAAATGTCTTCTACGTATCTTTCTGTGTTCTCATTCATTGGCGTTCTGATTAGGCTGCCTACGTTCTTAAGGCCTAGCCAATTTTCCATACATATCACATACAACATAGTTGTGCATCGTGTGGTCTAGTGGTTTAACTTCGGTTTTTCTTCAAGTCAGCTGGTGATAACGTTAGTGGTTGTAGGAGCAACCCGGGCATAATAATCCGGGGAGTAATACTAGTTAGAATATCGTTGAGCACTTTCCTCGGTCCGTTGATCACGAGACCCAATAGGAAACCCAGATTAAAACCAGACCGACAAGGCAGGTACATGACATCGCCCATACATAGCAGCATAGTTGAAAACCATCCAGTGTTGCATACCTTAAAAACAGGTTGAATTCCAAATTCGATGTAAGTTTACACCACAATTTTCTCAACCTCAGATTTGCTCATAAGCGAAGAAATCACCACTGGTTATATTCAGTATTGTTATGCGTTGCCAACGCATGCATCAAGTGGTCGTATTCCTTGTGGTGTGTGGCTCATGAAATCGAGCACCTGAATTTTAGATATACAGACAAAATCAACGTAGAACCTCGCTCACAAATCCATCGATTCAAGTTGCCATACTTCACAATAGCATGAAAAGAATCACTGAACAGAAAAAAGCTGATATCAAAACAGACAAAGGCGTATAGAAAGAGAAACCATCTGAAAATGACGATTATTGGAATGGTTCAAGCATCGGGAAACGTCAGAGAGTGAATACATGTAGACTATTGTCGCCGATTTTCAGCCACTTCCCCAAGAGTCAATCTCCAATCACTGATTCCTGTGGTTCGGAAAAAACCAATCAAACAGTTTACATCCTACACAGCTCAGACCAACAGTCAGAGACTCTATGCACCGGTACTACTTCTTGTTCTCACTACCCTGAGCCTTCTTCTGCCCTAAGCCAACTTCTAGGATTGCGCTTCAAGGTAAGCGGTGGCTAGGTGGCATGTGCAACAGACATCCAAGCTAACTCAGTTGCTGAAGGTTTTCGCAAGCTCATTGACTAACCTTACTTCCTTGCGTAGTAGCTCGCCTTTTTGCGATTATATGTCGGGTTCAAACCCTCTTCACCCGTCTCGTCCCGGTCACCGACGTAGTGTCATTATCTTTCATAGTCTGCTTCAATTTTTCGTTTTGCTGTGAGACGTGTTTTCCACTTAGAAATGATATTTTGATCTAACTGTATGTGATTGGTTTCTTCCTTCACGTTTTAACAACTATTTAATTTTTGTCCCAATCGGAGACTGCATATTTTACTGTTTTTCTTATAGATACGGTATTAGAGGTGCGATCTGCATTGAAGATGCGAATGGTCATATAGCATGGGCTGATTATGATACATCCGATGCTGGCACTATATGCTGGCTAGATGCAGTGCAGGATATAGAGGTATGCGCTTTATATTTTGTTCTCATCTTCACCCTCCGTAATAAGTATATTTGATAAGGTTGGCCTCGAATTCTCATCTAGAACATCAGCACTTTTTCAACTTGCTAAGTTAGCCTTTGTGAGTTACTTCATTAAACAATCTACTGAATTTTTCGATATCACTTACGATTCTCGTTAAAAGGGTTCGTTTCTTTTCTCACATCCTATTCAGAGCCATAAATGCACAAATCATTGAAAATATGTATTAAAATCCTGTCTCAAAGCAATGAATTATCTAGGAGCTTCGTATCACCGTGAAATATTTTCCGAATGTCTCTCATTTTTCTCTTGATTTCAGTTTGGAAGTCATCAAACCACCGTTCATGCTGGGTTTTAGTCAGATGGTATCATACTTGCCTCACATTCGCTGGGTAACACTTCAGTTAACTTGACCAATGATCGTCCTTAAATAATTACGATACCATCTCATTTAATCCTTCTGCTCTTCCTCGTTTCACGTCGCTTACAACCTTCTCAATCTCGGCAATAGTTGGAAGCCCTATCCCAATGTCCCATTTGAATCTGATGGGATAGTGGTCAATGGTATAGTAGCTAAAGTTCAGTAGAACTATTCCCGAAAGTGTCCTGGGAATGAATAGCAGACTCATTCTTTTCCCCTGTGATCTTACTAACCATCGACTTTTTTTTACCCCAGTTTCCTTGATCAGTTTAAATTGCTGTCAACTGATACTGTCGCCACTGCCTTTTCATATACAGCCTTCGCTACCCACCACTATTCGCAATCGTTACGTAGACTCTTTGTCAGCTTGCATTTGAATTCTTCTCATTTCTCATTGTTCTTGGAGCCTGCATAAGGGCGTTCACGCAGAAGAGGCCCTCTGACTCCTGCTAGCCTTTTTCAGTTGTCGTTCCCAACCCTGTTTTTACAGTAGACTGGAGATGACTCCATGCTTCCTTCGCATGAATGCCGTTTTCCTCTCCCTATAATTGTCTAGTCAATTCCTCATTAAAATCACCTTTATTATTCTCATCGTCAACCTGCGCTCCCAATAGTCTAACTGCTGCAGTTTTAGTGCTTCCATTTAGACACATGTGTGTGGAAGAACCAACGCGTGGTCACTGTCCTGGACCTTCTGCATAAGGAGCGACAATCTTTCATCAATCTTCTGTAGCAATAACTGATAGCGATATGATCTATCTGTGTCCACTGTTGATTTGATATCAATGAACGCCACGTCAGGCAATGTCTCTCTTTATGTCTGAAGTTTTTGCTGACCAGAAATGGGTGGTTGTTTAAGCACTGTTGTAACAGGTTATTGCCGGTGACTGTTCGTCCAGGTGGAATTAGCCCTTACGCTTGTACATTGAAATCAACTGCTCCATTAACCACATCTAAACATTTGGCTTCCAGGGGGAAAATGGATAGTTTTTTGTAGAACTCATTCTTCACATTTCCCGAACTGCAGTCAGTGGATGTGTAAGCAGAGATTACAAGAAAACAACGACATGTCTCATTCTTCGTTTCAATCCTCACTGTACTATTCATTTCAACAGCGCATATGCGACTGTCTTATGGGATCCAACTAAGTGCTTCAATTCCTTCCTTAGAAGTTGTTGCTATATGTATACCTCCAAGACGACAAGAACCATCCACAGAAACTCAAAGGATGATTTTTGCGGATTCATCATATTAGCCAGGTGAAGTAAAATTAATATAATTGTAAATTCCAAGGGAAATCTGTTTGGGACCCGTCACACACTGACGTTTTGGAAGTTAAGGGTTTAGCTTGGATTGATTCTCATCCAACTAGAAAGCCCATGCCGTCACTACTGACAGATCATAGAGTAGGGGGGACTGTGTTATCTTGAGGCCACTTAGACAGACAAAATCAACTTAGAACCTCACACACAAATGGACAGAAAAAGAGTAAAATCAAGGTAGAAGTAGTTCGAGAGAATAAGCAATCTAAAGGCAAAGGTTAGCGCAAATATTCAAGCTTTAGAAAACGTCGAGAAGTGAATACATCTGCACTGCTGTACCGATTTTAATTTATGTCACCAAGAGCCCTGAACCATTGATTCCTATCCTCCCGGGGACCCCAGCCAGGTAGTCTACATCTCCCGACAGGACTCAGACCAACAGTCAGGGACTTCATGGACTGGTGCCACGTCTTGGTCTTGCCACCCTGAACCCTTCTCCAACCAAATTCAACTCCCCCTAGCACGGTACATCAAGGTAGGCGGTGACTCGGCATGCATGTACCCCAACAGACCGACCTTTTCTAACTTCTTTATTCCCATAGGGAAGGCAACATTAACATAGTACTGTTGGAAACGTCTTACTGCTGTCACACCGCTTCTAGCCAACAGTACAACTTTGCCCTCGGACCCCCGTCATAACATAGTTCTTACTATAACGGTCACTGCTTTTAACTCAACAGCCTTAGTTAGTATAGCAGTATCTCAGAAAAGATGTTTCCATCTGCATAGCTTGTTGGATCATTGTACTTTGTCAGTCTTATCACCACGTCAATGTAACTGCTCTCAGTCGGGATTTTCATCGGGCTAAAGGTGCTCGGGCTGTGTACCGTTCTCGTCCTAAAAAAAGCTGAAGCGAGTACACGATTCCCAAACCTCAGTATTCATTCACATTTTCATCCGTCTTACTATTCATCTTTTGAGGGAATGAATGCACGTCTTTTTTTACACAACTTAGGTAAACAGTAACTTCATTCTGAAAGCAGTTTCTTACAAGTATTCTGGTGGGCTCATAGCTTATGTTACTCAACGGTTATTATTAACTGGAACGTTGGCAACTTTATCGGCTGTTCGAATTTCTTCACATTTTAGAAAAACTATTACAATGCTATACCTTTCTCCATCTAGACGTTTGGGAAAAGTAACGTGTGCAAACTAACACCAAGCTTACAACTGTCCTCTGATGCTTTTACACTTCACAGTCATACTGGATGCATACTATGTAGGTCGGAGAATAGTAACTTTTGTCCAAGTGAACTGTTTTTACTGCTCTTACGAATGATGACACATTGACGTGTTTTCTTAAGAGCATTTAGATGTTGGATCATTTCATGTATTGTCAGTGAACGACCCAGAGTCACGTGTTTTTCCGTCACAAGTTTATTGTGGATAGTCTCCTACAATCGTCGTTGAGATTTTCCCTGATAATATATGCTTTACAAAATGTTAGTAGTTTGCACCCTCGAATATGGACTTCATCTTTTTGTCATTGTTTCTTTTGGAGAGAGAAAAAAATTGTTCCAATTTTTGTCTGATTTAGCTTTCTTTTTGTTTGTATGTCATGCTCAACTCACTGTCCTTATTTTACTTAACCTAATGACTTTGATGTTAACAGATTGACTGAAATATTTAATTCACACATTTTTTTTCCACTGATATACCGTTTTTCAGACTAAACGTGTATATTCTTCTGAACAATCAGATTGTGGATTTTTAGAAGTTCGTGATACCAAGACTAATGAACGTCAACAATATCATATATTTGATCACATTTCGGTAAAAATTCATATTAGTGAGTCTGTTGCTCATGGATTAAACCTACGTTTGGAACTCATTGGTCGGCCTAAACCATCATTTAAGCCGAAAGATGAAGCAGCAAAGGCCCACACAACAACTACCAATTCTTCAACCTGTATACCTAGTGTCAATGCAAACTTGATAGAGGTAGGTAATTCATTTTTATCAACAATATTTGTTGATATTTGTATCAGTGAAAACACTTACAACTGGTGAAACAAATGATATTACTGTAAACTTTACAAGTTCAGATATCAGATATTGCTGATAGGACTACATGAATGTGCATTTAGTTGACAATTTCTCATCGTGTGCGTGCGTTTTCTTTGTGGTGCTTTTCTTTAATAGTTGAAACGTACTCCAACGCATTCTGTACATAATTAACTGTCATTGGTGGGTAATATTTATTCCCTTCCTCATACTAAGGCGAAAGGAATGTTTTTATTGAAAACGTGTTCCCCGATACAAATTTAAAATAAATAAACGTAATTAAAGCAGGACTTATTGAATTCATAAATTTCAGTAAGACTCATCAGCTTTTCACTCTACACACGTGATTTTATATACTGTTGTGCAATAAAGGAATACATACACACATAATACGGATTGAGACATTATCAAGCTATCTAGCTGGCTACTAATTGTTCTATTCGAAATGATGTAATCCATCCCTAGTCTATTTATTTCTCATTATCAATTCGTTATCCTCTCCCAACCTAACCCTAGCTGTTTGACGTCAGTAAATGATTCACTCCGTGTTGCTAAGCCTCAGTCAATGTTTAAGTCTGTTTTAAGTGTGTATGCATTCCTTTATTGTACAACAGTATATAGAATCATGTATGTAGAGTAAATAGCTGACGAGTCCTACTGAAATTCATGAATTCAGTAAATCCTGCTTTAATTATGCTTGTTTTAAATTTTTTTCAATTGTAAATAATAATCTTTAATCATTATAAAAATATTTTTCAGTCTGATCCCAGCGTGTTTAGGAAATCAAAACAAGATATTTCTGAGCGTTTCGCTGTGTAAGGTACGTTTAGAGATAAAATGTACCGTCAGTCATATGGAGTTTTAATGGGTTCGGCAAAATCTCCAATTGTGGCAAATCTCTTTATGAAAGCTTTGGAAGAGAGAACTGTAAGAAGTGTCCAATGCCAACTCAGAATTTGATATAGATGTATGGATGATACATTTGTCATTCTTAAGAAAGTAAGCCAACAGACATTTTTAGAACACAAATTCCACTTCCGATTCTATTAAATTCACTAGTGAAATAGAATTTGAGGACGGAACTCTTTACTTTTTAGATTATCTTATCTAAAGAAACCACTGAAGCGTTATCATGAAAGCATGCAGAAAACTAACTCATTCGGATAGATATTTAAACTTCCAGCCGAATCATCCAACTAGCATAAAAGCTAATGTCGCTATAAACTTATTAAACAGAGCGAAAAACATAACCGATCCTAGTGATTTGGAAAATGAAATCTCCAGAATGGAAAATGGATATCCTAAGGAGTTCTTGAACAATATCATCGATCAATCGAATAAAACACCAAATAGTACTGCTACTAATAATAATAAAGGTACAATAAAATTATGGGGGTCATCTTTGATGACACCATATCGAAAAGGTACTTTAAACAGATTAAAAGAGTATGCGCTTCGTATGGTATTAAAGTCTCTTTTAAACCTTCAAATTCGTTAGAAAATATCTTAGTCAAAGGAAACTATACAATTCCTAAGACGACACAAAACAACGATCTACAAAATTAAATGTTTAGAATGTGAAGTTAATTATGTTGGAGAAAGTTGTAGACCCTTAAAAGTTAGAGTGAATAAACACAAGTCATGTACTAAACATTCACTGGGGAGTCAAGGTGAATTAAAAATTTTAGAAAAGCGATCAGCAATAGCTATGCATTCACTCAAAAGTTGACATATGATCTTGAAAATGTAGACATACTGGGAAAAGATTTTTCCATTTGCATAAAGAAAGACTAACTTCCGAAGCCGTGTATATTTCAACAACATCAAATGCTATAAACACAAAAGAAAGAACAGACCTCTCACTTATTTGGCAAATATTAATTCTGAGGGAGTTGTGGAGATTTGGAATTATTTCAAGTTGTTATTCATCGTAGACTGACATGAGTTGGAGGAACAAAGGAAACCTGGGAGCACTGGACAGCTGTTTCGTTCTAGTATGGGACTCCTCAGCAGTGCGCACCCACGACCCCACCAGCAGGGATCGAACCCGCGATGAATAACAACTTGAAATAATTCCAAATCTCCACAACTCCCTCAAAATTCAATTGAACTGGTGCTCATTGGTGACTAGCTTCAAGAAGTATTCCCGAAGTTCCAATGAGAAGTCGTGACCGGCGGAGTCAAAGCCTGATGGCCATGAGGACAAATATTAATTCGACAAAACCATTAATGATGACCTTTTAATGGAAGCTTTAATAACAGTTTTTAATGGTTCATAAATAAAAGTACAAGAAACAAGTATTTTACAACATATATAAACGCACTATAACTGTCCTACATTTTCGTTAGCAAATGATAATAACAAGTATAAACTTTTAATGACTAGTCTTAATTACTCAGGCTGGACAGAAAACCACCTCACCGATAACCTACATTCATCAGATATTTAATGTATCCTCTGACTACATTTTGATGTTAATAAAAATCCTTATGTCCTGTTGAAGAAGCTGTGGCCTACATAGCGAAACGTTCAGAAATATCTTGTTTTGATTTTCAAAACACGCTGGGATTATGTTAAAATATATTCTTATAATGATTCTATCAGACTCGGCGCTCAGCTTCTTCCAGGACATTGGTAACAAGTATGATCTAGATGTTCATAATGACATACAATAAATTGTCTTACCTATTTTTTTTAATTGGGAACTTTATCTTCCTTTCATTATTAGACTTATGAATTATCTTCTTGTACTTACTAATACTGAAATATATTACCGCTTAGCTTTACATTGAACGCACAATTCTGCTTAGAAATGAAATATTAAAGTCGCGTGTCCCGGTACTACTGGTGTTTCATGCTTGCATGAATCAACGTAGCGTTGGTAAGACCATCAGTAGATGGATAACTGACAATTCACGTCATTGGTCACGAGCAGATGGTTAAAAAAAAATGCGACTGTTAGTTGCAACAAAGAGAAGAAAACCTGCACACTTGAATCCTTACTCAAATTTTGAATCACTAAACGCCATATCGATTAAAGTAGGATCAGTAAAATGTCTAAGCAGCAGAGCCAAGAAACTTACTAGTAAGGCAGAAGAAATGAAACATATTAAAAATACCTTACTCATCAATGATTAATTGTTAAAAAAATATGACTAACAGTAGTAACGCAGGTATTAATAGTAATAATGATAATAATGCCAATACTGTGAAGGGAGAATTCGAAACCTCTACGATGTTAGAACAGAAATAAAGGCACCTCAACGACATTCCGTACAATTCTCAGTAGGGCTAGGACTAGAGTGTAATTTAAACCTACAAACTCATTTAGGAATAAGGATTGCAATTTTAAAAATCTTTTTGATCCAGGAAGACAGATTAATTTGGTTTACCGAATCACTTGCAGTGGTTCATAGATCAAATACTCAAGTCAGAGTCGTTGACCAGGCTCATTTAGGTTGTCTGAGCAACAAATTGTGTCCAGTAAATTATGCCACTTCACTGCATGATAAATCCAATGAGTCAGTTGAAATGAAACTGTCCACTAAAACCGTTGGCAGCTACTGTCAACTTTCACTGCTGTTTTAAATTAAATATATTGTATGAATCTGCTGTACTCCTTGATTACTTTGACCTAAAACTGTTATGCGCGTCACAATATCCATTTATTTTTGTACGGTTTTTAGTTTGCATTGAATTCACTGTGGATTCCTACAAATGTTAAATGTTTACTTTGATGTATATCCAACATGCGACTAAATATATTCTTCTTTCCTACTCATATTACGTTGAAACAGGATGTACAGAACAAGGATGCTGAACGACGTCGTAAGCGTGCTGCAGATGGTCAAGAACATAGTGACATTTTAGAACGCAGTCAGTTAATTGCTCAGTTACATGATCCTACTTCGGTGTATCACCGATTTCATAAATTATTACGACAATGTAAAGTAGATGATGTGAGTACCACTTGACATGTGTACATTTTTGCATTCCTCTTATGTGTTAAATTACAAGAATGTATTTTAACTGAATAAATCTTACGGTGAAAAGTATTTCTATGCTGCTTATGTCTGATCAGTTTTCAGTTTACAGCCAAGAATCGTCTCAGATATTTGATGTATGAAAATATTCTTTATTACGAAAAACAAGAAACAGTCTGACTTTTGTCATGTTTGTAATGGGAATGTAAAAGTCACAAATTGTAAGCGTATAGCTAAATGTCACTCGCCTTGGCTTTCTGGATCAAACAAATCAGATCTAATAACTGAAGATGAGATGAAAATGTGGGCCTTGGCAGGATTCAAACCAGTGACCATCGGGTTTCAGACCTGGTACTCGACCAACTTAGATTCGAGACCCATTGGTGATTGAAGTGAAATAAAAATCCGTTCAGCAGTCAAGTCTCGTAGTTCAGTTGGTAGAGCACCGTGCCGGAAGCCCGGTGACCGCTGATTCGAATCCCGACGCAGTCCAATTTCATTTCACCTTCATCCATCACCCAGTATCAAAAATAGTCTGCTAAACTGCGGCTCAGATGGTCAAAATAAAGATCAAATTATGTTGACCAATGAAAAGGATTTGTGAAATGCTTCACGGAGATGGAACCAACTCCTTTTGCTCGTCTTTAAACGTAAAGTTGATGTAGAGTACTAATCCATTTTCTTTCAATAATTACCTCATTGTCTAAATTATCTGAGAACATTGATCATCATATGCTGAGTCGATACGCTTAAATTCATTTGTTATTTGGGCCATCTACAGATCAATATCAAGTTTTTATTTTACCCGTGATCTGAAGTGATACGTAGTCTCTTCGAACCTGCACTTCTCGTAGCAAACATACTGGTCAAAGATCTGTGTTTCTGTGACCCATACTATTCTCGTAACTCAGTCTGCCAACTATCTACAGCTTTGACACTCATAGGTTGACGTAGTGAGGAAAAACAGGTCTGAATCCAAAGCTTTTAGTTTTCAGTAACTGATACAAGCTATATATATATATATATATATATATATATATATATATATATATATATATCGTGAGGTCATCAGCAGGGTTTCCATATGAATGAAATTTTAGTCCATTCATTATCAGACTGAGTTCGTCAATCCGCTATGTGCAGGTCAGCCTACTAGATCATATGCGACATATGTGTGAGAGCTTATGGTATATATGGTTAAACCATGATGTAGGCTTTTGGGATCGTAGCTTAGATGTCTGGTCAGGTTACTCTGATATTCACCTTTATCATTACGAACACATTAGGTAGGTTGCGTAACTTCTTGTAGCTAAAAAAGTCTAATTCCTTGTGTGATATGCGCCACTGATACCATGCCTTCTTTTTCTTCTGTATCCGCCTTCGGGTTGCACGAGTAACACAAGACCGTTTGTAAGGTGGTCGTCCGATTAATTTCGGAACACAATAAGTTAGCGCTCCAGGTAATATGTATCCAGTGTTCATCTACGGATAAGCAGCCATTTTTGTGGTCATGAAGTCTCCACGAGTCCATCATTCATGAGCCGGTAGTCTGCCTTCCGGTAACAGCTGAATGTTTCTGGTTAAACTGTTGGTGGTTCCTCCTCTGTAATTAAGGAAAATCTCACCAATCCGTGATCGGTTTTGCCTAGGGGATGTTGGACGCAGATGCCGTCCATCAAAAGTTTATCGTCTGTTGCAACGTAGTCAGATCATGATCCTTTTTATTTGTTCCCCATCGGGTGTTTTCCTCAACTTTCGCGATTAGTCCTGCTGCCATGAATGTGTTTCTAAGTCTCTGCTCAAAAGGGTTATGTACATAGCTTACTTCACATCTCATGTGAAGTGCCGATTTGTTGAAGTCTCCAGCGAGGACTACATGATCATCGGATGTCGAAATCGCGGGGAGCGATTGTTTTATGCTCTATTGCGCATAGAGGAGGCACATATACCATTCCTAGTAGGTACTTTGTTTTGCTTATGACTAAATAGCACTAGGATTTTTGTATTTGGCTCAGTACATTATCAGTCGCCTTCTTGACTTTTAGGTTCGTGATAATGTATATGGCCAATCTACCTTCTTTAAACTGCCTGTCCCCCTTCCAGGACAGCGTCTTGTCAGGTAAAGATATTTTCGCTAGTCAAAAACATCTGTTGGGAACCACGTTCCCGTTATAAAAATTATATTTGCATGCAACTGAAAGTTGTTGTTCTTAGCTCCAGTAGTTTACTTGTAAGACCTCTTACTTTACTGTAGAAGAATGTCAAGATTAACTATCCATGTGTAGTAACCTGTGCTTTAGTAACAATTGTGAGCTTGCATATCATTAAATACTCACTGAATATTATGCAGCCTTTATGTCTGTTTTTAGCATTTTGTTGTTCCACACCAGAACTCACCCTTTTGTAAAGTGTACCTTCAGCTGAGCATGTCAAATTGTTGAATTAACTAGTCTAGCATCATACTGATGTGTCCTAGGGTGTTTACTTGTTTTTTTCTTTACTAAAATCTTCGTAATTTATTTTCTCTGTGCACATCCTCAAAGTATTTTCCTTTCATCTACAGTGATATTATGATTGTTGACGGAATAGAAGCTCTCGCCTAACTGGCTTCCGCATCTGTGGATCACTACTTCTTGTAGTTTTTCCCAGTACTTTCAGCCGTTTTGTGTCTCTTTTCATAGGTTTTAAATTCTCGAGTTTTTTGTTCTTTCCAATGCTCCAAAGCTAAATTACCTTTTGGATTGTGATTTGTTAAATTTAATGTAGGATTTCATACAAATAAACCACCGACTGTACTTTTATTTTTAATGGTCTGCACCGAACAGGTGGATTGCTATTTTCACCAACCATGCTACTTTCTTGCTTGATAACAGTACTATTGGTGGTGGAAACAGTATCGGTCGCAGCAGCTACAATAAGCCTGGTAGGCGTAACTACAATAATAATAATAATAATAATAATAATAATAATAATAATATATATTTCATACGACAGGTTACATGAATAGTAATGGTGGTATTCAAACCTATTGACGTTATTGCAGAATACTAGGTATCTGGACTAAGTTGTTTATAAATGACATGATGAAGTCGACTAAAATGTATGTTCGCCATAGGAATGCAATCTCTTGATGTCCTCCAGAAAAGTTTTTCTCCAGAAGGAAGCTGAACAAAAAAGAGGGGAATTCCGACTCTGGATGTCATTCAATTATGTTTTACAGGGAACTGGTCCGAATTCACATGGGCTACATTTAAAATTAATTGACAAATTGAGAACTGCTTGTTTTGCTTCAGCTGCCACTGAAAATGGTACAAGAACAACCTTGGAATTTATGTATTGACAAGGACAGGGGGCGCAATCAATTAAGCCTGAGGTTCTTAAAGCTCTGTCCTTAAACTTCTCTCGAGTACCACCATTGATTTTCCGTTTGTAGTAAACCTGTGTTTTAACCGTGATTTATATTCCCTGATTTCTACACGAGCATAACCGAAACAAGCTTCCTAACCTCGATGATGACCGGTGGTGGGAATTAACACTCGGTCAGGCATAACAGGTCCATGGGATAGAGGTACATATCCCTGGATACTAATCCTAAAGATTGAGTGCTTTTTAGATTGTGGGTTCCCTAAGCAACCAACTAACCTCGTGATTTTTGTTTTCGTGAATTTTTTCTTGGGACTGTCTTTAGTACTATTCTACTCTTCTTCATCAATAGACTCACTTGATGTAACTTGAATCCTACTGAATTGTACTACCATGTTTACACTTTGGGGAGCTGGCTTTTTCCTCAGAACCATTTTATTCTTTCTGGACACTCATTTTAAAAAGTATTGATCTGTCTGGACCTCTGTTTCTTTATCTGCCGAAGGTTAAGATCAACGAGTCCGAGGTATGGATTTTCCGTAACAGACGGAGATTGACCAAATAAATCTCAATGATTCATTTTATCAATAGGAATCAATATCAAACCGTGCAAATATTAGACAGGTAAGTCAGATTTATATACTACCTTCTGGCTAGAGGGATTTTCCATGTCAGCTATGGCTACAAAACGTGTAGCGTGACATGTTTTCTCTTGTAGCACACGGCGATTTCTGTACAGTGGCCTACTGTAGTATGTACCGTTCCCACATGAGTGGTATTGTGGTAGAGTCAGATGTGCAAATCGAGAAATCTGTATAGAAGCAGAATCAGTGCACAGCCGACTATCATCTGGGAACCAACCAACAACGGAGTTACTAATGTACATTGGCAGGAGGTCAACATCTGGATACTCATAGTTTTCTGCTGCAAACGTTTCAGTAAGCAGACTGGATGATAAGCTGAAACTCCCAAGATTAACTTCTCACTCAGTCATTTGAACCACACTGAGAGAGCTCATGGTAGTTTACGTGCTTTTGGGTCCGAAATGAGTGAAATCATTCAGACAGCTCAAATGCTTGTCGACTGAATAGAAAATGGTTTTACTTAAGTGGCTTCCGCATCTAGAACCCGTGGGTGACCACTTTTGTAGCTTGTGTTCAGCCCGGTCGTGCTTTTTATGACCTAAGTAGTTTGCAGATAGAGTTACCTATGACCGTGGGCGACTTGGAGCACTTTGATGTCGAAAGTGGGACAGACTGGCAGATGGAGTTCGTGACTTTGTTGAGTATGAATCTCCGATGTTTGTCCATATCATGCCTTAAGTAGTCAACTTCCCATTTTGGTTGTTTCAGAGCTATCCAAAGCATTTAGTCGTCCGAAGTTCCGGCGACGCTCACTGAAAGATCTGGCTAGATTGGTCCCACAGGCATACTGGAAGCCGACAACAACATGGTCACCCCCGCCTAAGGGGGAAAGGATTGATAATTTGTTTGTGAAAGTGCGGTCCAAGTGGAATAGGTTCAGATTTCTGTCCATTGGGTGGCTGTTCCCAAGTTTTCTGTAGACCATTTCCACAATCAGACTGAAGGATCGGGCTTCAGTGGAATCACTACTTCTGCTGAGCGCATGAACTGCGAAGTCGAACTTCGGTAGGTTAAGAACTCCCAAAAGTAGTGTGTGCGAATGACTGTCTGTAGCATCTGATCATCACACTGTGTCAACGAATGGCTACAACCAAACTCTTTGTAGTCTTGGACAGCAGTGTAGGGCACCAATTGGACTCCTAGAGGCAATCCAATCCTTTAAGGTGGATATGATGGGCAGTGAGGGAATAGCTAGCGTAAGGTGCTACTCCATCCTTACCAACCTTCTTGTCGTTGCGAAATATCATGCTGTCGGCCGCCGCCAGCTTCTGCTTTCATGCCAGTAGAAAATCGTGGCTAAGTAACACCCTTAAGGTGAACATAATTATCCTCACTTAGTTCCCTTTGTTTCTCTAGCCTATTCCCTAAGAGAAACAGCATCATTCCATCCTTTCTGACATGACTGCAAACTAGGTGCCGAAACAAGCGTTTGTTCCCCGTAAAACAACTTTCAATGGTGTTCAGACATTGTGGCATTCACACTTGTCTGCTCACAACAGTTTTCTCTGCGTTGGTCCACCATAGATTAGCGGTGGCACTTCGTGTTCGTTAACTTTTTTTGAACGTGCGGGCTATATGATCAGGAATGTTGTGCGAAAATGTAACGACTTTGCTTCTTAAACGCCTAGGAGACGATAAACGTTTACGTCGCAACATAGCAGTCAGTTATACGAATGAACTTTGAATGCCGAATCCGCAAGCATTTTTCTGGTGTAGTTCTGAATTTGGGCGCTCGTTATTAGTGTAATGAAGCTAAGTAGTCACTTTATCCACATTGGATTATTATGGCTCCAACGACAACAACTTTAAGTAGGTGATTATCAAATGCACCCGATTGTCTCACGGGTATATGTTGAACCATCCTTTGGGCGGAGTGGAATCCAGAAATGAAAACCCTTCGCAACGTTCTTAGTAGGTGTAGACATGAATTACGGGCCACAAAATAAGTGAAAGTCTTTTATACCAGATGTACCTAAGATGTTTGCCAGTAGCCACTCAACAACTCCCATTCGACGGTGGTAACATCGTAACTGACAGAATTCTGGCAACAGCCGATCCATTACAAGAAGGATTTATGTCCTGCACTGTTACTTAGGCATTTGACCCTCAAATTAGGATATGAGGATTACAGGAAAAAGCAAATCCCTTGATTGACCGAGCAACACCATCAACAACTAACCATTGGTCTGCCTGCAGCAGGATATTATGGCACCGATGCGGATGACAGAAAGGAATCACCAAACGATATCATGGGTATCTGTTGGTTCCGCAAGAATTTTGTAGTCGTGCATACTGTCTTGCAATCTAGGGAACACGGGCAGTTCCTTTTCGAGAAACAGACCACTGGCTTCTACCGTCGACACAGAAAACCTAATGTTCGTTTATTTTGCGTTGCAGATGAAATACAAGTACTGCTGAAAGTGGAGCTGAAATTAGTGTCCTTCTTCCGAATGACTGTGAATGATGACGTTCCTACCTGGTTCTGTCTACAGGCTGTAAATTTGCCCTTTATCGTTGCCCGCGGAAAAAAACATGACGTTGGATTCGCCTTTGATGTTTGTACCCAGTCATTCATACTTGCCGATGTGTTGCTACTCTTAATTTCAATCGACTTTCTACGATATTATGGATTTTCGGTACAACCGAGACCGTGTGCTACATAATTCAAACAATATGGCCTTCGCTGCTAGCACTTTCAGTTACTTATGGCAGTTAGTTGCGCAACCACTCTGTAATGTACCGAGTGCCGCATTTATTTTCTGCCCTACGCAAGTTCACAATCGCCAAACGGACCCAAAGCGAAGCCTTCATCACATGCTAACAAACGGACCACCAGTTTGCACGTTTTAGGCTCATTTATCCCCACAAATCCCAGACCGCAAAAGCAGAATCCGATGAAATACTTCAGCCTGGTGCTATCCCACCTTTTAGCAGCGCATGCTTTTCACAACTGCATATGGTCCCAAACAGGTCTTCTTCCAATGCTACATACAGAAGACCATCGATCGATGTCCACTACCCCATATCCATGATTTTGTCGGAAATCTACACACCTTCCCCATTTCCCCAAAGAAAGGCCTAGCCAACATTATATTCCTGGCTGTCTTGAGTGTACCCTAAACCCAGCCATTTTTACTCCTGGTTCACGTGAATTCCTTCTGATGCCTTTTCCACTCAAGAACACCCCCCAGACATCCCAAAGTTTCACAGACTTGGTCCTCCATGGACCTCATTTTTAATACCCTCACACCTATGATTTAGTCATTGCTGGCTCAGAAGATACAAAACACATGGGTCATCCTAAAGGTTTTTTTCCAGAGACTTGACAACAAGGTGCGGTGATTAACCTCAGTGAATATGAATTTGGTAAAAGCTCATCTGAATTCTTATATATATTACTTACTCCAGTTGACGTGATTCTAGCAAGAAAACTGTATAGTATGAGTACCGGAAAAGGAGACAAAAGGCGATGTGACCTCAGCTTACGTCAGAATGATGACAGCTGTAAACTGGCATTTCTCAAGTAAAACCTTTCAGGAGAGAATATATGTTTATTATCACTATTTAATTCACTAACGAAGTATAAATCCACTTGCAGGCGAAGTACAGGCTACCCACCAGCAGACTCGCTTAAGTAAATGCACCGTCTCATGGGGCTGGAGAACATTTACTGTAGCTTCACTCCGAAGTGAACCGTAGTTTCTTTTTCTGCGGACGATTTTACTCTCTCTATCCATCTACAGAGGCAACTTAGTCCGCCGAAGAAGCTAGGCAGTTGCTTAGTGGAACAACACTTCTCTTTAGAAGAGACTTAAGTGTTCCATTATCCCTTTTAACCGATGTGTGCAATATCGCTGCTGGAGCAGTTTTACAACAAATACTGAATTGAAAATAGGAACCTCTAGCACTCTTTCAAGACGCCTGAATTCAACGCAGTGTCGTCAAGATATATTTGTAGAGGGCTGTCAATTGAATATCTTGCTACCAAATATTTCACGCACATGATTCGAGCCAGCTTTTACAGACCGGGAAGCCTTGAGTAATGCCTAGCCTAACTATAAGCGGATAATTACAAGGATTATTCAATAAAACCCAGTGACGAAGACCAAAGTGAACCAAGATCAGAAACAAATGTTATGCAAGCTGAGACTGAGTTACACAAGAGCACAGAAGCCAACATAATGAACTGAAAGGATATAAAGTAACTTGTTTGTGGCTACTTTTGACCATGCACCGCACTTGTGAAGTTTTAGTCATCATTCAGCTTGATATTTCTCACCAGGTTTAATTAAATATTTCTTGTAACTGCCCGCTGATAGCTAAACAAAAATAT